GACATGGTTGAGTAGCAGCATTTGCGATGTATCATTCATTGCTGCAGTGTTGAGCCGTCATATATGAGTCGTCACATTTGAGACCTAGACATTATAGTATATTCCAATATATTAGAAGTCTTTCGCCCTCAAGAAAACACAGTTAGAGAAAGAGACTCACAGAAATTTCCCCACTAATCAAGATTGTGAGGACATCGCATATTAGAAACCTATACTTGATGTTAATTGGATTACTAGCGAAGCTAGTGCGGCTATAGTGAGGGTACCTGCAGGTACCCTCACTATAGCCGCATCATGGCCAGTCTCTAATTCAAAAATCACCACGCCGCCACATTGAAAGTTCGAACATGAATTACTCGCTAAAATTATAAGTAAATGTATTATTCTGACTTAATATATTGATAATTCAAGCTCTTCTATATTATCCCATACTCTTCTAGTGCTATAATAGTTTGTCAAAGTAGATCTAGTGAGTGTGGAAGGCCTTCGGCAGAAAATAGATATACTTCATCAATATAAGAATATATATTCTCACTACACACCAGCCATCTGCCATAAAATGTTAGCATTACAGGCCACTACGACTTATTTACTCCTTGATGTCTAGACAATATAAAGAAATGGAACCTCCTATTCCCGAGTACTAGGAAAACTGGAGCATGCGTATTTGAAGGTGGAAACTAAGGGCTTGTCAGCTACATAAGTGTCACATGGGTCTCGAAGTAGTTGAACAAGCGATGATTATGCTAGTGCGGCCATCTTGCGGGTACCCGCAAAATTGCGGCCATGGGCATAGGTTGATAACTATAACCGCGGTTATGCCGCAGTCTAATTGTAGGTACCTGCAATATGACAAAGGCCACAAAGGTGAGGTTGATATATCAGATTCCGCGATAACCCAACACACACATGACTATGGTAGCATTACTATCATCCAGAGCTTTTTTCACGTCATCTTGAATAGTATTTGCCCAAAGACGCAAGATAGACTTCTCATGGATCTCAGCTATCCGTAGGAGGACGAAGAAATTTTGATGATGTGGTCATTCATTACCCTTGTTTTTGAAGTTACGACTTCTAACACCGGCCAGTGGATTTAGGAGGGAGGTGGCGGTAGAGTATGACGGCTTCCAATGATTGAGTTCGGACATAGGGTTGTAAAGAGCTCATTTTATAGCCATTCATTTCGTCACGCTGAGATATGCCCTGCCTTGTGATTTTTTTCAGGAAATCCAGGAGCTCCCAGAATACTCTGCGCATACTCAGTGAGTGGTCCAAGGCGTGGTATCTGTATCAGAAAGCTGGGAGAGGAGTAACAGAAAACCATTACAATTATACACTATTTACAAAGAATGATTCAACAAAATCACGCCCGCACTCTCCTCTCCCTCAAATGCTCATAATCCGGCATCGCATCCCAAACTGCTTTTTCAATAAGCCCTGCAACCTCATTCCCAAACTCACTTCTCCATTTCTCTGCCTCAGCTTCAATATCCACTATAGCAGGTGCCTTATCCTTGACAATTCCCTTTGACGCTTCCAACGTTGACAGCATAATATGCGCCGTCTGTTGATGCATACCAGTGGGATCACTAGGCACCCAAGTATCCGACTTTTTCCTGTCATTCTCCCCACCCCACTCGAATTGAATAGCATCTGTGTCCAGCCCTGCTGCTTCGCAGAAGCGCAGCACAGAATCCGGGTTATGAATGACGTCATGGGCATCAATGACCAATGGCACAGTCGGCTCATCTGGCTGCTCAAGACACCAGTCGAAGAGCTTGCGCGTCCACGTTAGCGTCATGTTTGATAGTGAGGCTCCCTTGACGCCGTCATCGTCGAGGAATCCCAACTTTGAGATTTTCACCATAGCTCTATACATCGACGGCCATGCGAGTGCCGGATGCCGGATAAGAAAGGCAAGTCGCCAAGTGCGCAAGTACTCATCTGGGAGAACAGTCTGGTTGTTTCGCGAAAAATGCTGCTCCGACCCATAGGTACCTGGGAGGCTAAGACGGAAGCGATTGAAGGTATCACCTTTTGCAGACGGCGAGTCACTGTGCATGGCGGCTGGATTGACAAGCCAAAACGCATGCTCCTTTGCGAACATGACCTTGTTATCGCGCTGAGCTTGAGCGCTGTATTCTTCCAGGGTGTTCAGGCATTGCTGAAAGGCGTTGCAGACCTCCGCCTTCTCGAGGTCGGTCCATTGGTCGATGGATTTATTAATATGGCCATCGCGAGAGGCAGTCATGAAAGCATCATAGAAGAAGTAGCCGCCTTTTTGGTTGGTGAGGACATTGGACTGGTTGTGGATGTCAAGGATCTTCAGGAGGAGGTTGGAGGCAGTGCGGGGAACACTGATGAGAAGGAGACGCGGGGGGATATTCTCTGTGGGGCTTGTAGTAGCAATAGCCATTGCGACAAGAATAATGTATAGATATGAGTGTAGATACAATTAAGCTTAGGCAATGAGCGTGCATAGAGATGGCTTCATCCCGGGAGCAGATGGCGTGATTAAATACATCCCCATATATAATCCTCGAAAGCCCTTGTCGATTAATAGTCTGTTTGTTTCGGAAAGTTTCCTTCCTTCGGCGTGTCTTGCGGTTTGACACCGACAGTGGAGTTGTTGCCCGTTATTCTGGCTTTTTATAGGGCTGCTTCAGGAATGGGGCTCGGTCTCGGGTCCTTGCCGTGGCCGACGGTGGTCTGATACGGTGATTACCTAAATAAGGGGCATAGAGATAAACTTGATATTATTTGAGTGTTACTTCTCTGACCTATAAGCCAATATAAATTTCAGCTATAATACCCTCATAGAACATTATCGATTGGTAGTCAAAGTTGAGGTTTATTTTTTGTTGGGGTGCTGCCAAGACTGACGTCGGTTATCATCCAGCATTGGTTATGGAGTATAAATCTTGGCATAGCAACCACTAGCATGCATGCATAGGCTCACAAACCCAGTTTTACCTCATACACTATTCTCTTATACTAAATGGCTGGTACATACGACCATAGGGTGTGGAGAACAGGGCTTCCCGTCCGCTCAGCCGTACTTAAGCCACACGCCGGCCGGTTAGTAGTTGGGTGGGTGACCACCAGCGAATCCCGGCTGTTGTATGTTTTTTTCGTTTTTGCCTCGCTCACTCGCTACGCTCGTGAGTGAGCCTATAACCTTGTAAGTGAAGTGAGCATTGAACTTGGTGGAGTTCTCTGTTTTGAGATGGAAACAGCAGGCCTGATGTGCGACTTTTTATGCCTTGTCGTACAGAGGAGTCTGACTGTGCAGATTCGCATGAGATAAAGGGTGCAAAGATATGCTGCGGGAACAGCAGCAGCCTATACTAAGAGCTGCAATCTAATTTCTAAAAAAATAAAATATTTTGGTCACAACTCGCTTCCAGTCCACTGTACGCACTGCAGAATTACAGTAGTCACTGGCTCTTATCGTTAATCTCCCACTGATTTTCATTTCAATGAATAATAGACACCTAGCATCATTTTGAAAGCATTTGTATAGATACACTTGGACAAACAAGACCCCCTTTTCCTCCAATCGCAGGTTTTCGGGGCACCTCGTATGAAATTATCTCCGGTTTAATCCTCATATCATGTAGACTCACCATCATAATATCGATATGGCTTGGCAAGGCGACTTCTCAGAATACTGCACAAACGAAGATTCCATTCAGACTATCCACGCCGCTGCAGATCTTGCATGTATAATTGCAGCTGCTTCGGATTCTGGCCCATTGGATCCGAATTAACGCCATTGCGGATTTGGCGCGTTTTGGCCTAGGCTTTGCGGACCTGCCGTGCCACTCCATCTTCGCAAAGTCCATATTTGCGCCAAAGTGACAGCAAGCATGGCAGATTCTGTACTTCGCGCATCCAGAACCACATTCAACACCTCGGTCTTCTCGAGAAAAGGGGAGTGTACAGACATCACAAGCTACCGACGCCTCTCTTAGAAATATGTGATGCAACTGGTCATGTGCATCTCCCAGCTGCATACCGTATTCAACCAGGAAGTCTCGCATCCAGGTATTGCCCGTTTCTTGCATCCACCACGACAGACTCCTGCCAAACCGGTCCCGAGGCTTCTGTGCAAGCGGTTTATGGCTAAGTATTTGCTGGACCAAATTTTTATGGCCGAGTAGGACGGCCACAAACAAGGGGTCAGCCCAAATCGATCTTGTCGATGAATATCACTGCCCTGCATTCGGAGTTGTTGGAAGAAGCCCTCATAACCCCTAACAGCGGCATGGAATAATGCAGTTCTTCCCATATAGTCTGAATTGTCCCATCCCATCCCGCGGGTTTGCAACAGCAGCTGAAACGCAGCTTCCTTACCTCGAGCGGCCGCCCAGCAGAGTGCATTGCGCCCAGGACCATCTATTCCTTGGACCTTATTGGTTTATCCGTTTCAATAACCAACTGTCGGAAATGTGGCTTAGTCAGGGTTGAAAGTACGTATCAAGCGTATATGGTTGAGGTCTCTAATTCTTGCAAAAGTGTGCTATCTAGGATCCTATATAAGACCGTAAATACCTTATAGAGTATACTAAGCGATTGTGCGGTTTCAAAAGCAGTAATAGCAGAGTAAATACGCTGCTTTGCGCCATATGATATCAGCAAGGCATCAATCAGGCATCAGTTGGTATTGTTCGGTAAGGAACCTCTATATTCTGACACTCCTGATATACCCCAGAAGGAGTAGCTGAAGGAGTATACACCCAGGCACAACCTGATTGGATCGACTCAGGATATACTCCCTAAGGAGTAGATGGGGGAGTATACTGGACAAGATATATAAGAACACTCATTCATGCACCTAGTTTAGTTCTTCGCAATCAACCTAGTTAATCAAGCATTGGTTACCTTCTAGTTTCTGACTCGTCCGCACTTAACCAACAACCCAGCATACGTGCTCGGTTGGCCTTGTTTCTCTATTTGTTACCTTTACTGTTTCTACTTGTTGATTATCTTACGGAGCCTGGAGGGGGCGATATACCCATTGACGCATACGACTTACTGAACCGGACCCAGATGGTCATTGAGCATACGATTACTTGGAAGACACTTAGGGTAAGTGTCCTGTCTCGAAATACAACTAACTAGAGCCCTAGGTACGATACGAGGGAAGCCAGCTTGTGACAGCCTGACCATTTCAAGGTCAATGGAATGTTATGCCTAGGCCTCGAAATGGTGCGGTCCCGGTCCTATAGTCGGCGACCAAGGACCGGACCACGCGGTCTTGCGGTCCTGAAATGTCAGGACCGGACCGGACCATGGTCCCTTGCGGTCCCTTGCGGTCTTGACCGCGGGGGACCGCAATTGCATAAAATTGCCAAGACTTTCCTTTTTCGGCTGGATAATTTGCTGATTCATCTGATTTTTTACCATTATTAAATACTGTCTTGGTTTGTATATCAAAATCTCCTGTAATCATACAGAGGTAAATAGTATTTTGCCAATTTCTTGGAGTTATACAATAATTTTTTACCAAACTACAGTTGGATTTAATGATCAATATACAACGCAATGCCTTTCAGTTATAGGTTGCCGTTAGATATGGATTTCATCAGCATTCAGCAGCCTACAGACCAGTTCATCTCATATACTACAGGCTGCTGGGTATATATATATATATATATACATGGGTAGACATTACGGAGTAAATATGAATTGCTGTGCAACTTCGGAATGTATATAAATATATGGCTATTTTTGCTTCGGAGATGGTTGATAGCGGAATGAGACTGATATAGATGATATTAATATAAATGGAATATTAATTGTATTCAATGCTTGATGATGCTGTGTGTTATTAGTTATTGTCACAGATTACAAGGTGGCTTGGACTTTGGAGAATCTGATTCCAATCCTATCCAACTTTAACCGCAGTTGGTTTAGTGTGTCACTAAATGCGGCTTTTGCAGCTTAATCTGTGCCAAACTGCTCTGAATGCAACTCTATTAGCAACCAACTATTTCTTCTGGTTAAAAAAACTCTATTAAGTCTCTTCTACACACTCCCCTTCCTATCATAATTCATCACAATGTCACAGAGCCAGGCCTCTCAGTTCTCTGAGCACTATTCCTCATCATTTTTGGAGGAAAACCTGTTGGATAGCCCCTGCTTCCTTCCATCTGATGGGTCATTCAACCCTTTGCACAGCCCAAACATGCCAAATCCCAGCTCTAGCACTAATTTCACACAGCCAGTGCCTCCGCCTCCTATTCCTGAGACACTGGAACGCGTTGGTCCTGCAAAGAAGAAGATCTATATCCTTTGGACAGAGATGGTGAATGATGACTTTGTCACATGGTGGTTGAAGACTGAGTATGGAAGTGAGATGAAACGGAATATCTTCAAGGGTAAACACCATGCAGAGTCCTGGGACTACTTCCATCAAGTAGTTGCTATCCAGGATGGATCCCCTAAGGTTATGTGTAAGAAATGTGACCATATCCTTGCCCATCCTGCTGACCGCCACCGTGGAACATCTACTATGAACAGACACTATTCACAAGGGATCAACTGTCAGAAATTGGCACCCCAATCGCAGGATATTCGAAGGCTGATAAATAATGGGGTATAGATATCTCTATCTTTCATCTGAACCTCTACTTATCTTACTAAAACTCCTTATTAGGCACACCGAGCTCTTCAAAAAGCATCTTTCACTCAACAAGCATGGATGGAGAGGATAATTACCTTCATAACAGCCTCACGTCTACCCTTTCAACTTGTTGAGCATCCAGAATTTCATGCCCTCATTGAAATGGCCCGGCTTGCTCCATCCTTTCCTGAAATCCCTTCTGCGTACACGGTCCGCCGGAATCTTCAAGAATTGGTTGAAGAGCGTCAACATACTCTGATTCAGAAGCTCCCAGAGGGCGCTAAGCTCTCTATTGCACTGGATTGCTGGACCTCACCCTTTCGCCAGGCCTTTATGGCAGTAACAGGCTATTTTCTTGATAAAGATTGGAATTATCGCGAGATATTACTTGGCTTTGAACCCCTACATGGCTCACATACTGGGTCTTATCTGAGCACTGTTCTGTTTGACCTTCTTGAGAAGTATCACATTACTGATCGAGTATTAACGGCTACCACTGATAATGCGTCTAATAACTCTACATTGATGGATAGCCTGCAACAGTCCCTTACATCTCTTGAGCTACCTAACTATATACCAATTATTTGCATGCCATGTATCGCACATGTCATCCAACTAAGTTTAAAGGAGCTACTTGGTGAGATGGAAGCAAACCCATGTAATGATAGAGAAGAGATGGAATGGACTGAGAGAAGGAATGGGGCCCAGCAAGAGAACAGAGAGATTGTGAATACTCTAAATAAGGTATGAATCTATCTCTTCTATAATCCTAATTTCTAATCTCTAATAATTTTTTAGGTTCGACGGCTAGCAGTCTTTGTCAATAAAAGCCCCCAGCGACGAGAGAATTTCATGGATCTTCAGACACAAGAACCTAAGCTTGTTCCTATACAAGATGTCCAGACACGCTGGAATTCAACATATCTCATGCTTCGGCGGGCCAAACGACTTCAGTCTACTTTTGATGAGTACTGCTCTGAATACGGCCATCCTGATCTAAAGCTAGATAGGGATAAATGGCGACAAATTGACTATCTTTTATCAATCACCCAACCTTTTTTTAAATTTACAACCTCTCTCTCGAAGACTACTGAGGTCACTATCCATAGTGTCTTTGCAATCTACAACACCTTATTCACTCATCTTGAGAAATCTAGGGCACAACTGGCGCAAAAGAAGGTTGGCTGGAAGAAGGTGATGCTGTCAGCATTAAAGGCTGCAGAGGTAAAGCTCTCAGAATATTATAGGAAGACTGATGAGATTGAGGGTGGTCTCTATGCAATTGGGACTATCTTAGCGCCACAGAACAAGCTAGAATTCTTTTCAACAAAGGACTGGGAGCCAAACTGGCAGCCACGATACCGGAAGGCCCTTGAGGCTTACATTCAACCTTACCAGCAGCGCTATTCAGAGACACAGTCTATATCAGCTGCCCGGTCTTCAGCAGAGGGTATCTCTGATGTAGATATCCTTGTGACATCAGCCGCATCTCTACAGCCACAAACAACTGCTAATGATGAGCTTTCACGGTATCTTGGAAGTGGTAAGCTTATCCTCTATATCTTCCTTCCCTGATATTAACATCTATAGGTACTCAAATTGTGAATCCACGGGTGTACTGGAGAGATCACCAACATGAATACCCCATCCTGGCAAGCGTTGCCCGAGATGTTCTTACAACACCAGCCAGTGGTTCTGGTGTTGAGCGGTTATTCAATTCTGCTCGGGACATCTGCCACTACCGCCGGGGATCACTAAAACCGAAAACAATCAAAGAGCTGATGTTGTTTATGTGTACAACAAAGTTCAATATGGAATCCAAGCAGCTTTCCCTAATGGAAGAGTACTTTACTACTCAAGAAACACAAGCAGCAAAGGAGGAAAAAGATGCTTGGAAAAAACAGGATGAATTTAACCCAATTAGTGATGATGAGGATGAACTATCTTCTGCTGGAGCCACATCTCAAGTTATTCATCCTCCTAGTGAGCGTGCACTTGGGAAGAGAAGGGCTGAAGCTATATCAGATGAGTCGGGTCCTTTACTTGGATTAGATGAAGCTGATGAGATTCCTCTACCTGATAATAGCTACCTGCAAGGTGATAGTAGTACTCAGAGGCGCTCATCAGGGCGGCTTCCAAAGCGCTTGAGACGTGAAGATTTTGTGTATGAATAGTTATCAATCTAACAGACCAACGAATAAAAAAAAAACCCCCATTTTAATCTAAAATTTGCTTATATGATATCTACATGAGTATTCATCTAATATTTCAACTAATCCGTAAGCAAAATACTTGAAAATACAGATAGATTTGCATAAAATATGCATATCACAGAATTTCTATGTTTGTCCTGTTTGTAGGACCGCCGGTCTTAACTGGACCACTGTGGTGCGGTCCTAAAAATCCAAGGACCGCACTGCGGTCCTTAGGTGTCGCACCAAAGACCGGACCACAACGGTCTGGTCCGGTTTGGTTTGCGGTCCTTGCGGTCCCATTTCGAGGCCTAGTTATGCCCATCAAGCGAACCTATGCAATTTTCACCTACTTCTCGGCTAGAATGGACGTATCCTCAAACCCACCACACCCACAAGCCCGACTAACTCTTCGTCCATAGTGCTTTGCAGTTGTAACTGAACCTTCCTCTCGGGTGCGGTTTGAGCAGACATACCTTCCTCTGATTCTGCTTGATGGGGTGACCTCAAACCTTCAAAAGCTCCAAGCCCTCTTTAACAGTATCATTCTCTTTCTTCTTGTCTATAACAATCTTTAATACTTTAGTATGTTCCATTTTCACCACTGATGCTATCTGATGTTTAAACCACATGTGTCCCAATAGCTGGAGCATTTTGCTAAATCTACAATATAGTATAATCCCAATCTATACCCTTTCATTTCTTTCCTGGCAGTTCAACAGCTTATTCTTCTTCTCCTTCTCTATCTCTTTTGCCTTTCGTAATGACGGCATGACAACCCCCGCGTACATAAATAGCGCAAAGACGATGGACTCCATCAGATATTGCATGAATGCAACAACATACACGTTGGCGGGTGTATCCGCGTTTCCATCACCATCTAGGTCTCTCCCTTTGAAAGATGCATTGTTTGCGAATGTTGACAGGAGCATGTAAATTACCCGGACTGTTAGGAATGGTGTGCTGAATAGGGCGAAGAGAAGTATAAAGGTCGTCTTCTTGTTCGCATTGACGTTGTCGTGGTATTTATCTTCATTCCCAGGCTGGTGGTTATCGCGGGTTGGGTCCGAGAGAAGCCGGATATAAAAGACAACGGAAACCACAACTTGACAAGCGAATAGACATGCTACAATTATCGCGGCGGCATGACTTAGGTCTTTGTGGCTGGTAAACGTGTAGATGATGCTGAGGATGAAAGCGGCATATTGCGAAAGGTGGAGGAGGGTCCAGATGCGAGAGTGAATAGGGTCGGAGGCGAAGGTTGATTTCCTAGGTCTGTTAGTTTCCCTCGATTAAGTACTATTCGCTATGGCGGCGTACACATTCTCAATAACCTCCAACATGGCTAGTAGAAGGGTCATGACGCCGATAGACGCGAGCGTTGACGCGGCCCGTCGTAATCCATTGCTTTCACTGAAGTCTGAGGCAAATTGGAGACTTGCACCGGCGATTCGGAAGGCCGCGAAAATGAAGAGGTACAGCCAGCCCCATGCTCTGCCTATGCCGTGTCGGTGGAGGAGGAAGGATGTGGGGACGAGCCAGGGAGTGTAGTAGATTATTAGCACGATTGAGAGGACTTGGTGTGGTGTGAGGGCCATGGTTGCTTGTGGAATGGTGTTGTGTTGATTGAAGCATCCTGGGGTTTAGGTATGAATTATGGTCTCATTAGTTACGGCATTTATTACTTCATAGATGTGGGTGGATATGTCCGAGCACCGAGCGGGAGGCTATACACAAGTTGGCAGCACAGCCGAGCAAACCACCGAGCACCGAACTAAGTCAGCAATGAAAGGTAATGGCATGCCAAGCCCTAGGAATTAGCCAATGATATGCTGCTATAATAGTTAAGATCCGAGGCAAGATCCACCAGGCTGAATGGCCCCCATATACAAGTAGTACCCAGAATCCGATGCCCGAACGCACATTTATCTCGTCATAAGAAGATAGATCCATAATACTCCCTCGGGTCGAATTCAGCAAGAGAGGAAATCCCCGCCGTCCAGTTACTATCCGGCGTTAGAAAGTAGAGACTGTCCAGACTCCCGTAATCTAGCCCTTCCATTAGCGTGGGGTCGTTTAGAGCCATTAGAGCGTCGTTTGAGGCGTCATGTGAAGGAATTGGAATATCAGCCGATGGTTGGCTATCCCTAGGCTCGCTTGGTTCCGTATCACCAACTGGCCGTTTAGGTACGCTTTGCACGTACTGTCGAGCCATGTGGGAGAACCCAGAGAGGTAGCTGGACTTGATTGCTCCATTCGAGGCATGGTCTAGCTGGCTAAAGTGCCCGGTCACGATGTCAAGAAGGGTTAAATGCCCGCGTGTGTCTGGGTCGGTTGGATGGTGGACAACAAAGTCGAATAGGATAAATAAAGCGGAGAGAGGTATGATTGCGAGTATACTACGAGAGTTAATCACGTTCTTGAATCCTGGGGGTTTGCGTACAATACTGGTGTGTAGGGTTCCACGTCAATGTATCGCGTTAGGTTGATGGCTTCCCTCGCGGTTTTGAGTAGTGCCCTCATGCTGTTCTCGCTTCTTGCAATGTCGCGACTGACGTGGAGAGTAAGTCGTTCTAATGCGATGATTATATGGTAATAGTAGTAGTGTGTTCGTAGCGCTATCTCCTTGAATGCGCCATCAATCAGACGACTTCGTTGGAGTGGCTCTTTTGGCCTAAAATCCAGCGGGATAGATAGCCGCCATTCCTCGAGCAATGTATGAACATGGTCGACTGCTGCTAGGATTGTGTCGTCGGGTTGGGTGGATGCGGAAATTGAGAACAGAGAGGCGTAAGCGACGGCCAGAATGCGGCCGAACCGGACAGAAGAGACAAGCCAGTTGTACTCTCCAAGAACTGATTCTGGAGTATTTGGAATTGGGCACCCGATATCGTAGTCCGCAATCACCTGTCCCTGTCAGAACAATTCTTTTATTAGAGGGAAGACGTACCGAGTTGCTCCTGGCCTGGAAAGAGTACCGCTTCTCGAGGTGGTATATCACCCAAAAGGTTCGGTGGCATAATGTCGAATCCTCGCTGACGATCGACTTGTGGTAGCGTAGTGCAAGTACCATGCGACCAGCCTCAGCTATCAAGGTTTGATCTAGTTGAAGGCTAAACGTGTTTGTCGCAAAAATAGCCTACAGACTTAGCTTGTATACACAACCGTGGACAATTAACATACCATTGCGGTTAATGCCTATAAACGATTAATAACGACCATTAAATCACGGTGTTCGACCTACCTGAAGATTTGATAGAGATTCGGTGCTCATAATGATACGGTCTAGGCGGGTAAGAGCGACTTGAAAGAGCTTCCACGCATGGCTATCGTCGGGAATAAACGAGCTAAAGCCATTGTATTGACAGCCGAGAGCCAATACAGCGTAGTACAGTCCGCAGTATGCGTAGTCTGTTCCTAGAACGTGGACCAAGTCTGGTCTCTTAGCTCTTTCCTCGAACAACTGCCGATCGAGAAAGGGATATATCGGATGAAGGACATCGAAGTAACCTGTACCTGTTAGAAAGGTAAACGGTGCAAAATCTGAACCTACGTTGAATATGAGATGCCGCCTCTGGATCAATCACTAGTTCATTTTGAACTTTAGCCAGACTGTATAGCGATATGTCTTTGTCAGGTCTCGCGAGTAAACGCGTCCTGATTGTTTTATCAATCTGGTGGACCAAGTCCCTGACCTGCGTATGACCTAGCCTTTTCACCAACGAGTCTACTCGCTTTTCAGAGAAAAAAGCAAGCCCTGAACTTGGGACTGGACTTAGTAAGCGGTATGAACTGTATCCCTGCGCTCATGGATGGTGCATACCTCGATCATTATGAACCTTGACCGGTTAGTAAACAAAATCAATCACATCTGGGAGCTCACTTTAAGGATGGAAAATTCATCGTAAAGGGCAGCACTCTCTGATGGGTTTCGAATGAGCCGATCGATGAATAGATCTGATGAGGGTCTGAAGTCTGATCTTGGGCTTTTCTGGGGAGTTGATGAATCTGTAAGTAGTTAGATGGTAGATCATGGTTATCCCATGTAGTATCGTGCCTTACCCTTCAGGCGAAGCCTGCGTTTCAGGTTGCTGAACTGACACGCCTCGTTTCGTTTCTATTGACTGTCAGATGCCCGTCCCTACAGTGATTGTTTGGTAGACTTACTAGACAGTGGGTGCACGTAACAGGTCTTCCGGGCGGGGTGGACGGGACTGCGTAAGGTGAGCGCTGGACTGGGAATAGTGATGCCGATGGGACGTGGTAGACGTATGGCGTACCAATACAGCGGACTTTACGATTCCGACACTGGTCGCAAGACTTGTTGAGCCTCGGAGACTGCATCATCGTGTGTTGTGGTCGATCTCGGTCCTCGGGGCTGGGTAGTGGAAATCACGTTGATATGCATAATATGCATAACATGACTATGCATGCATATAATACACAATTCGGATATATCCTATCTTGGGCGGATATCTCTTTGGAGTATTCACGACTGATTACTAGGTAAACATATTACATACACTCTTTGTAGTCTTTTTCTTCCTCTTCTCTTCATATTTTTCTTCTTTCCTCTTCTCAACATCTCTTCCATCCCTGTATCTTCTGGTTCCATCAATAACAGCTGAGCATCCCCGCAAGAACAGTGCCTAGCCAGTGTAAATATACCAATATCGGCTCCGTGCTACTCGAAGGACTGAACCGTCGGTGCGCACGAATATTTGAGACTGCTTGAATGGCGAACCCAATAGTCTTGTAAGATTGTAAATAAGCAGTTCCCAGAGCCTTGATAGCTTGGACCTTGACTGAGCACATCTAGACCTAAACTTCCTTATCATTCTCTTTCAAAGCCAAGGTTGAAGAAGACATTGTCAATATAGGGACATCCTTTCCGTGGCTCTTTAAGCTTTGATAAAATGATGGAACATGCGCGAGCGATGTGAGACGTGGCACTTTTTGGGGAGCCAAAGGTATCAAAATCTTCGGTCATTTTGTTACTTGAGAGAAATGAGACATTCGCACATTGTCGTGATGCATTATCCGAAAGGACGTGCTCCTGGTATCCAGAAACAAATTCTTCTTCCGCAGCATCTTCAACTATCGATGGTCGAGTATCAGGTGTCTGAATTTGCTCTGTAAGAGAGGGCGAAAAGCCTGCAATGCCAATTGTAGCGTCTAGTTTCGCTACTAAGACATGAATTTGGGCCAAGATGTCCCAATATCTTTCTCTCATTTCCCTGTGAAGGCTGGCTCTCGTATAGTCAGAGAGCTTTGTATGCCAGGAGGGGCTTTTCGGGGCTTTCTAGCTATTCTGGAAGAATACTCTGGGACCAGGCGCACGTCCGCTACTTGGCCTAATCGCAGCCTCTTGCCACCATTGCACTGTAACTGGGCCGTCTCTTGCAAAACCTGAAATTTATACTAACAGTAGATACACCAGTCTAATCATACAATGTCAATCTTGGTTTGCGAGGATTCCGAAAACACGGCAGGACCAGTGATATGTCAGCTCTAAGATAAAACTTCATCAGCGGAGAATGGGACCATCAAAATGTACTTTAAATGCTGCAAATTTCAAGTTAATACGTATATTGCTAGATAGATAATTTGCCAAGACTCACTCATTGGGAATGCATAAAAGCTCGTTTCATCCTCTAGCATATAACTGTAAAAGTTGTTTGGGCGTGGAATCTTCTTTAACTCGCCTTGGGGTCCAGGTGCACGGCGAAGGTTATCCAAGCCACCGACAACACGAAGCATGGCTGTCAGAGCAACCTTACTGGCTTCTTTGCCCAGGCATGTGTGGGGGCCTACACCATAGTGAATGTAGGATTCCATGGGGCGATCGAGACGGACGCTATCGGGATCAGGGAAGGCATCAGGATCCCGGTTAGCGTCGACCTGGACATCATCAGTAGAGCTTCAGATATCGAAAAGCACGGATGGAAGCTTACAAAACTGATAAACACTTTTTCGCCCGGCTTGATGTTCAAACGCCGACCCCGATCTTCCAGGGTGACGTGGGTTTTGGATTCACGATACGATCCGAACGTTCCATGAAGACGAATAGCCTCCATGCAGTATCGTAATAGCATTTCATCGGATTTGGGGGAGTCTTCCTTAGCAATGCGGTTAATAGCAACAAGGTGCTTTTTGCCTGCATCCGATAGATAGTAATCGATAATTTGCGTGAACACTTGTGCTTGGTTGGGCACCATTGCAACCGCGGTTGGAAGAACCTGCGAGTAGGTAATCTCTGATGGACCTAACCCTGTTTCCGACAAGCGCCATATCATATGGATTCCGTACTCCTGGAGTGGGTAGCCATTGGCGCGGAAGGGGTCAAACAATGATGATAGGATCCCAGAGCTCTGTGTTTTCTTTACATTAGCCTCGACAATTTTGCCGAGTTTCTGGGCTGCAGCTCGCGCTTTGTGTCGCAGGGTAAAAGACTTTGATGGATCGACATCAAAAAAGATCGCCGTAAAAATGACAGCCATAATCTGGAACATCTCGTGTTCAGTGAAAATTCCATGAGGATTTTCCTCTGTTTTGAGGGGGAGCGAGAATATGCTTGAAGCAAAGTGAACGTGTGCCAGGTTTCCGACGCTGGATACTCCAGTTAGGCCCTCCTGCAAAAGCAAATGCAAGTTGAATACTCACTCGCGAGTGATATCGACTTGGTTCGCCCGTCCCAACCTGCACGACTTATCCTTCAACAACTTCTCGGTCATGGCGATATAAAACTCTCTGACATGTTTATGCCATTGATCTATGTAAAGAGAATTGTCCATAGTACGACGCTGGCTGGCATGGAACGAAGTATCTCCTGAGAGCATGAAGTCGTACCCTCCATTGCCAAAAACATACCCAGTGGCCTCGCCCCAAGTAACATGAAAGATATCCTGGTCACCGAGGACGTGCCGCACATTAGGATATGAAAATATGTCCTTCCTAGGGGATATAAAGGCAGGGCGATCCCAGGAATAATCCGATTCCCTCCCCAGGCTTTCCATAATGACTTTATTCTCAGCAGGTACGGTCATGGGGTAGTGTGCATATATCGAATCGGGCTTGAACCAATTGGGAAACGCGCGTAGTGCTAGCTTATAGAACATACAGCCTTGATCGGTTTCCAAGTCATAGTGGGATTCCGTAAAGCCCCAGTTTGTCAGGTTTCTGGCATTATAATCCGCCTAGAGTCTGAATTCAGTTCCATCCATTCCCATGGGGTTTGAGAGAAACCTACAGTATAAAATCGATCTCCTCGAACCAGTGCGACAGCATCGGATAATACAGCCCTCGAGATGGTATAACCAGGGGCAATACCAACCCCAGGGACCATGGGCTCTTTGGCCTCTTCTGCCACTATACCTGGATACAACTCCACATAGTCAGGCTTTTCATAAAGGTGTCGCAGCTGATCCGCCACTTCTGGATTAGAATTGATTTCTTCAAAACTCCGATAGGGCTTCAGGTCAAAGAACTTGCGGAACTCATTGAGGGTCCCGACATTCCATCGTCGCGCCTGTTCTATACCCAATATCTCAACCGCTCGCAATACCTTGGGTACATTTCGTGCACCGAAGGATCCTGATACATTCTCAATTGCATCAGTTAGGATAGCAACCAACTCTTCGTCTTTGAATGTACCATCAGCCTGCCGTTTCAACTGGGAGAATGTGCGTTTTGCTGGGTCAGGGTTAAGGCGCTTTCCATACTCGCCCAGGGCACCAAGTAGCTCTTGCACTGATGCATCTTTTCCAGCCTTCCCAACCAGCTCCTCGTATGCCTCTTCCGTCCATTTTTCATCTTTCTGACTTATTGTGCTATGCCAGCGATATGACAAGTTAAATTCAACCGAGCATTGATTGCCGAGTCCGGAAGGAGTCGTCTCATGCTCCCCCATTCGGACCCGAGGGTCCAAGCACCAGGTACTGTTAGTTCGGTTGAGATTCACAATAGTTCGCAGGTAGTCGTACAGCGTGATGTTTATATATAAGCCGCAGGTGATTAACCTCCCTGTTTGGAACAGATCATTATCGTACATCGCCCACGCCTTCTTGGCCTCATCCACTGAAAGCTGGCTATCTTGAGGTTTCGTAAATCGGCCATTTTCGTTGATAGTAGCCAGTTGCTCAACAACATAGTTATGAAATCGATTCAACATTACCAAAATAACCCCGCAAGCCGCTGGCAATGCCTGCAACCGTGGTTCAGAAAAACAATCGGGTTTCAACTTTCCACCCTCGAATGTCCGGATCATGTTTTGTTCTTCTTGAATGTCTCCATACAAAATGGATAGATCCAGATAGGATGAGGTTTTATTTTTATTCTCATCTTTCTGGTCTGTTTGAAAAATATCTATGTTAATGTTAGCCCTAGCTGTAAGGTCTGTCTCATATATAGGTGCTCACCGTGGATAATCAACGAGGCCCATGTGAAGAAAATGCTCGAGACTTTGTTCGGATGGGGTTTGAATTCATCGCGAGCAAACAAGCTATCGAAGATCAACCCTGGGTCAGGGAGGTTGGGTGGCCTAGTGGTCTCTGGGCGGATTGTGCGAGCATATTCCGTATTGGCAGCTCCTAGAGAGGGAAGAGTAGGATTATTATGAGATCCATCCGCACTCCTGTACGCATACTTCTCTCCAACGTATCTAGACTATCTCAGCTCCCAGTCACGACTCAAAGGTATGCCGCCAATAGACCATATCACCCGATACTTACGCCAACGGTGGATGAGGGAGCGAATCCCAAAGTTCGTTGAGAAACAAGTTCGTCAGCTTCACTCGATTTTTAGACTCATCTGGAAGTTTGCTAACAAGCTGGATAGGGAAGAATAATTAGTATTGGCCTCGCTGAGTCGCGCAGAGAATACAAACCTGAATAACACGCTCCATGAGCATCGTCTTATCATCAATTGGCTGTCTGGTCACTTTATTCTCGAGGAATGACACGAGGGTACTAGCATCCTTGATTCCCATGCTTCGAAGATCCGCCCAAATGCTACTGCTTGCTTCCTCCTCGATGTAGCTACCATCGCCCGTCTCCGTGGGGAGAGGACGACGAGCGGCATGGATGACTTGTTTGTAATCCTTGAATGTGGACGATGAGTCCACCCCTCTGTTCTCTCTCTCCCTCTCCGGCACCTTCCCACTAGAGGCTTCTCTCTGCTCTCCAAAACCAGCACCAAGAGAAGGACTAGCCTCGCCGTCAGTGTCGGTGTTCAGTTTCATTTTAGTGGATGCTCTCTCGATCCACCAAAGCTGTATGATAGGACCCTGTTGATTTGATGGAATAGTTCGCTAAATATGGGAAGTACATGAGGTAGGAATCTTTAAGAGTCTTTATTCCATCCATGCAGCTCTATAACTACTGTAACCACTTGAAGAACCATCCCACATCGACCAATTGCAAGGCGTCAACTTTACATCACGGAGCTTGTCGGATGGATATGTAATGAATAATTACATGTCCATGACTAAAATTGGAAAAAAGGCAGTTATCATGTCATAGCCGCTGAAAATGGCTATTGTTCGACTATGGAAGCTTGTCAACTTTACTTGTACCAGACGGAAGGCCACGGTAACTCTCAATCACCATCTGGAGCAGCCATATTACACAATGCCTTCCTGGTATTCGATGATTTCAAAAACAGCTTTCTTGGGTACTCCCTTTTCGTCCACTGTTTGGTTGGGTTTTAACCTCCAGCATGCTTGATGGAGAGAGTCCCCTTTCAATTATCATATCGTCCTTTAGGCCTATCTTAAATCACTCTATTGAGTCCTTCAAAACAGGTTTGTAGGCATTGCCTCCGAACCCCTGGCAGTACTCAATCGTTTGCCTACTGAATTTGCCAGTCAACTGCTTCTCCATTGTATGAAACCAATATCTAGAGCTATCCTCATTAGTGTGTCAGTCGAGAATGGATATATTTTGATGCCTTTCACCTACATTGGCGTCCGTATAGAAGGCTTGCTCGCCAGTTTCTCAGGTTCTCCATCCATGATAGCGTACTTGCGACTTAACGAGCTTCACTGAGTGGATTATTGGTCGATAATCTCGTAGGAGAAACGCCGAGGGTAAGGCTCGCAGTAGGGACTAACGACCGGCCTATATTAGCGGTGAATTTATATTATCTTGAACATATGGTCCACAAAAGTGTTTTAGTACTTATCAATCTATGCGTGCATAACGTAATGCATCACCAAGCTGGCCAGCTGGCTGCCGCCCACCGCCGGAAAGTACTATATACTAATTTTGAAGCCTTTCTTACCACAAAAATTGATATATGCGTTATCTATAAAACCGATTGACTATTTCTCGGGATATTTGAGCCAATCATGGCCTGTTTTATCACATGTGCTGCAGGTTGGTGGCCTACGCAGCCTGGAAACTGGCTGGTGTGCTTCCTCTACTTAGACCTGGCCTGCCCATTTGGCCCAAAATGGGGCAAAACCCAGCTCGCACGTGCTTTGCATAAGTTATCCCTCTTTTATTGTAATTTTCGCTGTATCAGCTTTACAAGAAGAAATCATCCTAAATTGGTGTGGAAGGTAATGTCACAGAGTACAGGCATTCACCAGCAATGCAAGATGTTTGTATACTTTGGCCTGTTTGAATATAGGGCAGGAACCCCCTTCACATACTAGATAGCGCAGCACTGGCAGGCCCAGCTTCTTTCTTTCCTTCTCCATGTTAGTATTTCGACAGAGAGTCTACCAATGAATTTATATTGTTTGAGACTGTCACAAAAGCAAGCTGCTCCTCTTCAAGATCAAATTTAACTGCACACATAAAGAGCATTAAATCTTGAATTGTTCTAGCAGACAAAGACCCTTGGCGGTAGTGGCAAATATCACAAGCAAAATTGAATAAATGCTCAACCCTTGATGCAGTTCACCTAATGTTTTAATATTGTTCTTCGCCAGTAATTATGTACACATGACTCACATATCTGTCAAGTCAGACAATGCTATGGGCCTTCTTGTATTTTCACCTTGTCGGGCACTACCGCCGAGCCCGCTGAAGGCTCGTATCAAGCGTCTAGTCGTTTAGCGCGGATCCTAGGTGTATAATAGGATAGACTATCTCCTGTGGGTATTTTTAAAAAGGTAGCATGTTCTGTTGTCTTTGAAGGATCCCTCCTTTTTCTCTCCCCTGTCTTTTCTCAGTCCGAACACCCATCATCAACAATATGATGAAAACCTCTCCGACGGCCCAGCCGCCGCTGCGGATTGGTACCCGACGATCCAATCTAGCTATCGTCCAGGCTGAGGGCATTTGTGATAGTCTGCAAAGATTACACCGGACCGATCATATGAGATTGAGGCTCTCCGCACACTGGGTGATAGAGACAAGTTGACGGCGCTTTACAACTTTGGCGCCAAGAGTCTTTGAACAACCGAGCTGGAGGAAAAGCTCACTTCTGGTCAATTAGATGTCATCATGCATTGTCTGAAAGGTAAATAGGTCTTCTTTCTCTTCTTTGTCTTTCGTAATTTGCTAACTGGACCAGATATGCCGACAAGACTTCCCGACCCTTGTGAACTCGCAGCTATTCCGCTCCGGGATGATCCCCATGACGCCCGATCATCAAGGCTGGTCTGTCTTAAACGAGCTTGAAAACCCTCCCCCAGGGTGCAGTAGTAGACACTTCGTCAGTCCGGCGCTCGGTGCAGCTTCGCCGTCTCTACCCCCATCTTCGCTTTGCCAATCTCCGCGGCAATGTGGAAACATGTCTAGCCAAGGTTGACGACCCAAACAGCGAGTATATTTGCATGGTAGTGTCGCCGTGGGTCTCGAGCGGGTAGGCCTCAAATATCGTATCAATCAGTACCTTCGCTCCAAGGATGGGGGCGTCTTCCGTGCCGTCGGGCAAGGCACCCTGGGCTTGGAGATTCGAAAAGGAGATAGTCAGATGCAAGAATTACTAAACCAGCTGGCTGACCAAAAGTCCACTCTTGCTTGCCTTGCTGAGCGGTCTCTCATGTAGACTCTCGAAGGCGGTTGTAGTGTCCCCATTGGGGTCGAGACAGAGTGGATCCAATCAGAAGACTTAAGGATGAGCGCTATCGTTGTCATTCTGGATGGATTCCAGAGTGTTCAGGACACCATTGATTCGAGGGTGCAAACTGTCGGCGAAGCAACGGCACTCGGACGAGAACTAGCGGCAAGACTGGCCAAGGTTAGTGCAGAGGCAATTCTGAACGACATCAATGCCAGCCAGCCATTCAAAGAATAATTATAGTACGGATTTTAGAAAGCTGCATATGAAATATCTTCTTGACTGATACCCATCATGCCTCTTGTACGACACTATACCAATTTGGCGCTAGAGAATCTTGCTAAAGAGACCAAGGCCCCCAGCAGAGTCACAACAAGCTCCTGAGTAGAACTGAGGAGACACGGCTGTGCATGCTCTGTATCGCTTCCAATTCAACTGTAGCCTGTTCGGCGCTGGCCACAATCTTAGGAAGCACTCTAGGTGGACTACATGGAGCCCTGGTGACGATAGAAACATTTTAAAGATGCTCTTAAGCATATACAAGTCTTGGGAGATCGAAGAGTTTGCCTGCTTTTACACATTTTCTAAGGAGCTAGATCAACCTTTTTATGAAACTCTCTGGGACATAGACCGAGACGGTCCAATATTTGAAGGACACCTGCGGCCGTACACCCCACCAGGAGCTTTTGATTTGACCAGTAGAGGTCAGTTTGATATCCCTTTTCTGTTTTTACCTCCACGTTATTATTACATCAGCAGCATCATGTTACTGTTCAAGTACAAAAAATAGCCCATGATGAAATGATAGGGAACAGAGGCGGTTACCTACAGGTAACTGTCTCCCATGGCCTCAAGTTGCTGTAATATGTTGTCTGTCGAATCAAGGACACGCACGCCTAGTCTCAACAATGCGAGAGATTATCCAATTGCCAAAACCAATTTTCACGGAAATGCCCTGGACAGTGTAACAGAAGATCTTCGGCTCCACGAGCTACAGGATTTGGAGGAAGAGTGGCGCAGCCCATCATCTTTCCAGCATAATAATGTAGAGCACCCTCCGCTGTCCTGGACATTAATATGGCGGGATTATTACGGCGACCTGGGTTCAGATCCTACAAAGGATGACTGCCGCTTCTGGGGGCGCATGATATGGGGCACAGCGCGACTAGAGCGCATAGGTACAACGGAGATACTTCTCCGGGAACAGGAGGAGCGTTGGGGGATGAAGAATGGGATCCTTTGGATTATGCGTGGTACTAGTACCTCAAAAAAAGGCCACGGAGATAGTTCTTTAGGTGCATTTTGTAAAACTTGTCTAGTCTTTGGCCAGTGCTACTTGATTGAGTTCTTGTTTTACCCTCCCATCAAAGCGCATACCGAAAATGCTTCGACTCTATATCAATCATACTTTTCGCTAGTAATGATGATAGTCTTGCCCTCGAGACGACTGGGCTTCGGAAACATGGTTTTGTTTCTGGAATTGTAAGATAATGTGTGGCGGCAGAGGCAGTTTCAATTGATAATTCAATAGTTGTATGTCGGTATAGTGAGCAGAGCCCCAGTTTAAATGAAGGAGGTAGGATATTCGTAATGAGGGTAGACATAGTCTCGTTAAAACGATAGCCCAGGGTATCCTTTGCGCCGCTCAAGATCTTGAGAAGAAAATATGCAAAGCGTCATTCAAGCAATGAGAAGTCTAAGCAAACAGTTTTTACCTTTTTAGTATCCAACAAGCAAACCGTACAATGCCTCTCGCACGTTACTAAGCTAGTTAGGACCAAAAAGGGAAATATCCCACACCCATTTGATTCTTTAACCGCAGTGCAGTGTATGGAGTGTACATATTATTCTTGTTTCCACGGAGCATAGATGTTCGCTAGCTGTATAACATGTTTGATTATTTTGGTCAGTTTGGAGTAGGGTATGGATCCCTTGCACACACTAGATAGCCCATCGCCGGTAGGCCCTGCCTCTTTCCTTTCTTTCCTCATATTAGGATTTCATCAAATAATCTACCAATGGATTCCTATTGCATGATACCGTCAAGTTTGGCCAAAAACAATTATCAAAATACAATGAATGGTCCACTCCATCCTATCACTACTACGTAGAATATATTCATCTAGGAATTTTGCAGTGGAGGTGGAAGCTCATCCAGCTGCCGCTTGTGCTCCCCCTTGGCAATAATTTCGTTGATGGTCCTCCCAGCAGCCTTCATAGCCTCTAAATTGACAGGGACACCACAGTAAACGGCGACGCTGATTTCAATCTCTTTGAGACCTTTGTTAGCACTGTGGACATGAATTCCCGACTCTAGCCAACTTCTTGATGCGACCAGCATCCTTAGGTCTGACGGATACTTTTAGCATTCCTAACATTTGCTCCACCGGGAAACGAAGCCAGCTTATTGAGTAAACTACGCTGCTTGCGGTCTACACCGGGACAAGACCACGTTGCCCCAGCACCACCTAATTGGGTGCTAGCGACTGTAGCCCCATAGGATATAACGATAAGACATGACTGCAATTGAAGGTAATTAAACAAAAGACAGATTCTCGGTAACAATCTGCTGATCTGGGTAGGCAAACTCGCTGGAACTGTCCTGCAACTCAGTGTCGACATAAGTATTGCCCACCACCTCGCGAGGGTTGCGAAGACCTAAACTGGGATAGACCATCACGGATCTGGTGTTATGTAGAACTTACAACATTTGAATAATGTTTATATAAAGGATAGACTGTAACAGCCTCAAACAATATAAATTTATAGGTAGACTTTCTATCGAAATACTAACATGGAGAAGGAAAGAAAGAAGCTGGGCCTTCCAGCACTGCACTATCTAGTGTGTGAAGGGGGTTCCTGCCCTATATTCAAACAGGCCAAAGTATACAAACATCTTGCATTGCTGGTGAATGCCTGTATTCCGTGACACAGACAAAAGAAGTAAGAAATTATTACTGCACTGTCTCTCACATATCAGTATTTCTGTCTGCCAGTTCTACCACTGAATTCTCTCAGTTTTCACCAATCTCTGACGTATGCGGAAAGTAACAGAGGATATCATCTTGAATCTCTAGATGAAAATTCCAGGGCCCTGTAGTTAAAACAAGCATTTTCTACCAGTCCTAACATATAGAAATTAAGTGTACAGAGCAAAGACCAAGATACAATGTGCAGCTTTCAGTCAGGATATCCATGTCCAAAAACCAACTGTAGAGGAACCTCCAGTTTAAATGGCTCATGAGCCAGGTCAGGCAATCTGATATCGAGGTTAAGAGCGTATAACCGTGCAGCAAATGCAGAGGTAAAACTAGGCGTCATGTCCAATGGTGTATGTATTGGCAAACAGATTGATGCCATCCATTCTTTCCTTGCCTCAGATGAGGGACTTAGTGACATTAATATATCACGAGTATCCAAGTCAATAAAACTTGATCGCAACCGAACCGGGAACAGTGGTGAGCATCTTGACCTCTGTGGTATTTGTTGAAGATTCTGGGTTGAATAGTATGTTTTGATACGTAACCGAGATCTTAAACGGCAGTTCAGAAAATTATGCTGAAAGTTCCCCACTAGCTTAACGGGGTTTGTTGGCATAAAGGTGACTGAGATCTCGCAGTAAGTAGCCCCTCTAGGAGCAGGTATATCTAGCTTAATTGGTGGAGGCTCCCTTGTTGACATAGCCATTTTCCCCACAGCTAAGCTCTTCCAGGGAATACAACAACGCTGTGTCTTTATCGTCCTCACACACGCCATCTGGAATTCCCCGGGGAAGTCTTCAGTAGCCGATGGCGGTTGCGCACCAGAACGAGGAAGTACTTGAATCTTGTTCATGGCGTAGAGACTGCGTAAAGGTGTATGCGTATTTCTGGGAGGGCTTAGTGTCACGCTGGTCTGAATTGCATACAAAACAAGCGGCTGCTTGTATCGTTTACTTGTTGCTGTATCCACGAATTCGCCACCATCCTCAAAGGAGGGGGGCAACTGGAGGGAGCCTTCTGGGTTCTCGGTGCCAGGTAGGAGGAATACTTTATGTGGGATGGTGAAGTCGAATTGGAGAAAGGATATTAGATCATTAGAGTTTGGGTTTTGTACAGGACTGGACCAGTTTGGTGTGCAGTCCATTTTGAGAAACTGTTTTTGGCTGTGTCAATAAAATTTGGATGACTTTCTTTTAAACATTATGACTTACCTGATGTTCCACCATATCTTCAAATGGGTAATAATCTGCGTTCTGGTCATGGTCATGTCTGTGCATCCAAACTCGTAAACGACCTAGTTATTGCATAAATAAAATTCTCATAAATAATCTTATTCTATCCATTGAGACAAACCTTCAAGTGTGACTCTTACATCCACAATGTTGAATTCCGGAGAAGTGATCTCAATGAAACCTGTAAGGGTATCTCCCGGGAACCAGGCCTTTTTGCCAGGAATACCAGGTATTATAACTCTCAGGACACAGAAATGGCATTTAGAATCTTCCATTTTGCATTCCTTTCTCTTGTAGTTTGTTGTTGACCATTGAGAGCATAGTTTCAGGCTATCCAAGTTCAACGTACGTTTTATATCGAATCTGGACTACTGGCAATCCCCAAATCGGAGCAAGTCAGCTGATCTCTCTAAATACACTCAAGCTTTGCGGCTTTGGAAGCACTATTTTACTATACAAGACATGACTATAGCAATTACCGACAATCACTCCATACATTCATATTGGTTTCTTTTCCTGGTTGCAGATTTGCAACTGGGCAGGCCTGAAAGGTCTCTGATATATGACAGTAAAACACATGGATTATTACTGTATTCTCTCGTCAAAAAGAAATTATGGGATGGACAAATCCAGAAACGGCATATAGAGAACTTACAGAATGGAAGGTAGCTGGAGATGCTGATCATCTGGACCGAAGACCCCTGCTGTTCATCACCCTTCTGCCAGGTATTATGACTCTATGATGACCACCAGCCTCAAGCTTTTCATAGTATGCATTTAACACTTTGGCTCTCTAGCTTAAAAGACTACACTCATAGGTTTGTGAAAAGAAAAGTGCTAAAATGACAAACACCCCCGGCACAATAGCATGTGAGTAATAAATCCAGCGCCATGTAGTGTGGTACACAATAATGCTTGACAACAACAGAGCTAGTGCTATTCCAAAGAGAGCAGCCACAAAGGACAATATCATGGGAGTGCTTCGGTCTTCAGCGTGGTAAAAGTCGTTGATAACGTGCCGACCATTGTAGAAGGTTTTTTGGGTTGTCCTGTCAGTCAATGGCATGAAAGCCCAACAGAAGAGAAAACATACATGCTCTCACGCCTAAGAAAAGTCACGCTATGACCATCCCAGCAAAAGAATGTGTGCTCCATCGCATGCGACAGTGTAGGCTATTTCAGAATCATTATATTAGCTTCGGGCAATCGTTCTTCGGTCTCTGATTCTTCGTGATGAACGAGCCTCCGTATCAACAAAAATAATCCCACTAATAACAGAAATCGGCCTTCTTCCATTGCTCTCAGAGAAAGGAGCAAATACCATCGGTGCAAGCCCAAACCCCACACAAGAGATCGTAATAGCCAGGTTGTACACCATCGAGCTGACACCCCATTCTGCGGTCAGCTCTGTTGACGCCGGGCTGGCCTGGCTTCCCCTGCAGAGTAACCGGCGAGGGCTTTCACTGCGCATGAGATTCAAATCATAATGGGTTTGCACCATTTAGGCCATAGAAATGGCGATCCATATTTCTTCAAGTCGGGGGGTTTTAATGGCGAGGATTGTCCGGGTCCAGGGAGTGAAGTGATGATTGATGTTAGGAGTGGTATGTCCAAGTCGAAGTAGAGATATTCGATTTCTCGGGATTTGGTCTTGGGGAGCTCGTCCATGCTCGCGGTCTTGTTATTGCATGAGGATGGATTCTAGGTCGCTGCCCAAGTCCATATTAACTGGAACTTTGTACTTAAAAGCCTTTTTGTACGAGTAAGGGATAGAGACTTCATGTTGATGAGAAGTCCCAAATATTCGTTCCAAAGGTTTGGAGAAATGTTCAATAATTATTTCATGATATAGTTGATTTATAATCTAGTTTCCTGTAGGAGAAATTCGACTTCTGATACTCCGTACTTGGAATATCCCCAGTACTTTTGGTGCCGGCCACCATTTTGGGGTGGCATTTCTCCAATTTGGAGCGGGGGAGAATCGACCACCGATTTCATGAGTCGAAGGCAAATGAGAAAGCAGTGTATGGAGCCTGGTATATTTACAATAAGTAACTGCGTGGTCATGCTTTGTTGGATTCGGTAGACTCACTGTACGGCTCCTTAAAAGGAAATCAATCTAACCTACAATTTGGCAAATCTATGTATTTACTAGGCTACAAATTTTGTTGATGTCTGTTCAAATGGCATTGATATGGATGCGGACTATTGACCAAACTTAAGCCATACCAGCCGGTTAGTAGGTTGGTGAGTGGCTACTAGCGAATCCCGGCTGTTGTATGTTTTGTTCTTGCTCTTGCCCAGTATCCAAGCGTTTTTGTTTTTGCCACAGCAGTGCTTGAATAACGACGGTAAAACATCATTGGTTATCTTGTGGCAGACTTGGGCTATAAGTTTTGATGTTTAGTAGTGCCCGTTTTAGGATGCCCTTGGCGGTCTCAAGGTTTTTCGTAATCAGCCAGTCTGAGCCGGCAGATGCACTACCTAGGCGGCGGGCCTCATATTGATGAAGCTTCTCAATGTTTTACAGAGCTCTGAGCTATAGCTAAATCATCCAGTTATGTTCGTTCGCGACGAAGATATCCTCCGCACGTGCTTTTTTTATCCTTTTGAAGTTTGGCTTGTTTCAAATTAAAGCAATCTCTTTCTCAAGTGACGTGACTCAAGGCGCGATGCCAGTAAGACTGGGCTGACTGAGTTTCATCATTCTGCTAGCTTCGGGTTGTGAGAGTGCCATCGGGTTGCTCATCCACTTTCTATGGAGACTGATACGAATTAGTACATATCCACCATATAGAAAGAGGGAGGAAATTAAATAACGCGAAATGACCATACCTGGGCTTTCCTTATCTATGAGAATAAACTCCCCCGGATACACCACATGAAAGCAACTTGGTATGAACAGCTTCCAAGTACTGTCTAATCTCTGAAGCTCTAAAAAGCCACCAAGCGTACTGGAACCAGCGCATAGAGATGTGAACCAACTCTGACCCCAGCACATGCCGTCTTCCAAGCTTTATGGTGTATAATTTTCGGCTTTTTGCTCATAATGACATCTGATACTATCAACATAAAAACATCAAACAGGCCAGTTTAGTTCAGTACAACAACAATTTTATCTCTGAAGGTGTTTCCAAGCACTGGGGGGCAGATAGCTCGGGGGCCAATAAGCTCGATCTGAAAATTCTCAAATCACTAGCTATTGGATGGTTGTGCAGGAACCGGGTCGTCCATAGCCAAGGTTTCGTCGTATGCTATGATGAACATAGTCGGTATTGAGGGCTCGGAATGGCATTGCGAGACTACTCAGCTCTAGAGACACAATCAACACAGGCAAAGAGGTCCTTTGTTGGTTGGTTTGCGTATAATTGTCAAGACAGGGACTGTAAGCAACAGAGGGCTTCCAGTAGATAGATGGAGTGATGTAGAAGAGAAGAAATAAAAAACTAGGGGGATGAAGTCTCTATATATCGGGCAAACGATGTGAATATGTCTCAGTGAATTGCACCATTTTTTCACAGGTTGTGCACTCCTTGATAAATGTGAATATACAGAATACTTTTTTAGATGCCATGCTCCATTTCGGGCTTGATATCGAAGACACCTCAGGCAGAAACGCCAATCTTATCCCGCATCTCACTTCGGCCACCTCCCTTGAACAAACTATGCAAATCGCAAGATATAAACAAAATCGAAATGGTGGATAAACCTCCGGTATGGCTAGAATCTGATATCTTATACCTCATCTAAAATAATACTGACCAATGCGAACGTTCTAGTTCCCCGACTCTGACGGGTCCTCCGACTTTGACGAAGACACCTCCACCCTCCCATTCCCAGAACCCCTCTCACGCGCCTCCTTTCTAACCCCCGACTTCGACCCAGCGCAATACCTCTCCTCCCTCCAAAACCGTCATCAAAGCCTCGAAGACCTGCGCCAGGAACTGCGCGACCTAGATCAATTGCTCAGCAGGGAATTACTCGATCTCGTCAACGAGAACTACCAGGATTTCCTATCGCTCGGAAACGCGCTGCACGGTGGGGAGGAAAAGGCAGAGGAAGTTCGCGTAGGACTGTTGGCGTTTCAGCGGGATGTGAATGCGATCAGGGATAAGGTCGAGGCTCGACAGGTTGAGGTAGAAGGATTATTGGGGGAGAAGAAGCAGCTGAGGAAGGATGCGAATGTTGGGCAGGCATTGTTGGATGTTGCGGAGAGGATTGAGGAGTTAGAGCAGAGGTTGATGATTGGGGAGAAGAATAGCCAGGGTCCCCGCGAAGAGTCGGATGAGTCGGATGGCTTCCTGGAAGAGAGTGATGAGAGTGAGAGTGATGATGGGCAGGCCCGCCAGGGCACTGCGGCTGCCGTCTCGCTGAAGCGACTTGAGCATCATATCCAGAAATACGTCGCCGTCACACGGTTATCTGCGCGCATTGGGGATGATCACCCATTTCTGCTCAGCCAACAACCGCGGGTAAATAAGATCCGATCCGCTGTGCTCCACGACCTTAAGACAGCTCTTGAGCAGGCTAAGAATGCTGGCGAGAAACGTGATTCGAAGATGTTATCGGTTCTGGGTCTCTACAAGCTGATGGGCGAAGATCCCAGCGCAATCACTGCGCTGAAGAATCTCAAGTTATAGACTGCGCCATGGTCCGAGTTCCTTGCATAGCGGTGGCGTTTGGGTTCTAGCTTCTTTTCATTTTCATGTCTCATCCATAGACAGGTATATATCGCAAAAACTCATTACCGTGATACACCGTTCCCTTTCCTAAAATGACATAATTTGTACACGAATGAAATTGTCAGACATGAAAGACTATTTTACACGCCACGCAAAGCCGTGGTATCTGGCGAGTCATCCGACTTGAACTCGCCATTCAAGCTGAAGCCAGCACCGTGCGTCGAACTCAGCACCTAATTAATGTTAGACATGTCATGTGATTTAAATTCTGAAGACAACTCACCACTTCATAGATCTCCTTAACAATACGGTCGTTAAGCCCAGATGCATCCTTCTTGACCTGGTCAATGGTTGCCCGCAGGTTGTCACGCAACTGTTCCGGGGAGAACGCCAGCTGACCAATGGGTATCCGGATAACAGCATCTCTTTCTCTGTAGATCGTACCGCCCCGCAACATCTCGACTCGCGATGCCACATCTTCAACCACAGTACCCGTCTTAGCACTAGGCATCAACCCCCGAGGACCAAGGACACGACCCAATCCAGCCTTATTCAATGCAGCCAAACTGTCGGGGTGGCAGATGAGGCGGTCGAACTCGATTTTGCCGTTCTTCACCGCGTCGAAAACCTCATCTTCTCCGACAAGGACTGCTCCTGCTGCGCGGGCATCCTTCTCATGCTTTGTGCCTGACGGGCAGACGACGCAAATGCGGGATTCGGTCTGGACGGAGTGTGGGAATCGGAGCATGTTACGGATGACCGGACCGTCCTTCTTCGTTTTTAAACGGATGTGGATTTCGTATTTCGAGATGGTGGGCTCACGACCGACTTCCATCGCACGGATATACCTGGTAGGTAAAGTCAGTCCTCCGTCTACAATCCGGAGCCGGTAATCCACAATACTCCCATACCTCATGGCATCGCAAAGAGAAAACTGCTGTATATCCTTCAAATCCCTCTGTGTAAATTCCCTAGCACCCTTCTTCGGCTTCGCCTTCGCTGCCTTCTTGCCCTTGCCCTGCGCTTGAGGGTTATTGCTCTTGGCTCCACGAAGTTGCTGTTGGTAAAAGGTCGAGAGGAATGGGGCCATTGGGCTCTGGCGGGCTGCAGGTCGGCATGACGACAGAATACTCCTTGCCGCAGAGGGTAAGGCAGAACCGTACGAAGACATGGTGCTGAAATTGCGACACACAGCGTTCGGGCTCTTTTTGGCGACGGGGAATGTTTTCTGCTCCGAAGCATCTCTCTCGGACCTGGGTCGGAGAAACATAATGCCGGCGGAACCACCCTATGCCATTGCCCCTCCAACTTTTTCTCTTCTTCCCCGCGACAAGATTTCAATTCATTCTTCATTTGTCCTGTACGGATTGTGTCGTCAGGATGTCTTGTCAGCTTACTTTGGCCTCGCAGGCCAACCAAGCTGAGTTGCTTCCGGTGCTTCTCGTTGCTACCTCCGTCAACGCCGCACGCCCAACCCCAGTGATTGCGATCAACTACGAGAATACAGCTCTTCTGCACGAGGGCGAAAAGGCCGTTGTACAGTTCACCGGTGCCAGTGGCTCTCCGGTTTATGGTACTGAGAAGGCCATCCAGGAGCTGCGTGCCAATTTCCCGTTCCTTAACAGCAAGGATGAGAAAACCGTGAGTCACGCTTCCCCCGGTCTACGCAACGCCTTTTTCTGACTCTCTTATGTACAATAGGAGAACCAATGGCTCTCTCAGCTCGCCTCGTTTACCGTCCTTGACTTCAAGGCTGTCGAACCTCTGCTTCAGAAACTCGATGCTTATCTCATGCTTCGATCTTTCGTCGTCGGCTACGCTCTTTCTACTGTTGACATTGCGCTCTGGGGTGCCCTCCGAGGGAACCGGGTCGCCATTTCTGCTATCAAGAAGGGAACGCTCGTGAATCTGACTCGGTGGTTCCGCTTTTTGGAAGAGCTTTGCCCCTGGGCCAGCTCGGCCCTCGAAGGCTTGACTGGGGCAGCCAAGGAGAAGAAGGGCAAGAGCAGCCAGGGCGCTAACTACGACGTCGGCCTCTTGAACACCGAAAAGGGAGTTGTGACCCGTTTCCCTCCCGAGCCTTCTGGATATCTCCACATCGGTCACGCGAAGGCTGCCCTTCTCAACGACTACTTTGCCCACGAGAAATACACCGGAACCCTTCTTGTCCGTTTCGATGACACAAATCCCTCCAACGAGAAGTTGGAGTTCCAGGACGCCATCATTGAGGATCTTTCGCTCATGGGTATTAAACCTGACAAGATGAGTTACACCAGTGACTACTTTGATGAGCTGTACCAATACGCTCTTCAGATTATCCGGGAAGGAAACGCCTATGCCGACGATACTGATAAGGAGACAATGGCCGCCCAGAGATTTGACGGTCTGCCCAGTAAGCGTCGTGATGCCTCGGTTGAAGAGAACCTTGCTCGCTTTGAGGACATGAAGAACGGCACTCCCGAGGGAGTTAAATGGTGTATTCGTGCCAAGATGTCCGTTGACAACCCTAACAAGGCCATGCGTGATCCTGTCATCTACCGCTGCAACCCTGCAGAGCATCACCGCACTGGTCCTAAGTGGAAGGTCTACCCCACCTACGACTTCGCCTGTCCCATTGTGGACTCTCTTGAGGGAGTTACACATGCCCTGAGAACTATTGAGTACCGTGACAGAAACCCTCAATACCAATGGATGATCGATACTCTTAAACTCCGTACTGTTCATATCTGGGACTTTGCTCGCATGAACTTCGTCCGGACGTTGCTCTCTAAGAGAAAGCTCACCAAGCTTGTCGAGCATGGCGTCGTTTGGGGATGGGATGACCCTCGTTTCCCCACCATACGTGGTATTCGCAGACGCGGTATGACCGTTCCGGCTCTTAGGGAGTTCATCCTGAGACAGGGACCCAGCAAGAACATCATCAACCTTGACTGGACTCTCTTCTGGGCTACCAACAAGAAGTACATCGACCCGGTTGCACCGCGCCACACTGCTATCCTGAAGAAGGATGCCGTTAAGGCTATTGTCAAGGGTGCCCCTGGTGCTCCATTCATTGAGGAGAAGCAAAAGCACGCCAAGAACGCTGCTGTTGGCACCAAGAAAGTTGTCTTCAGCAACTCGATCCTCTTCGAGCAGGAAGATGCCAAGACCTTCAAGCAGGATGAGGAGATTACAGTCATGAACTGGGGTAACGCCTTTGTGCGCAAGATTGAGACTGACTCTGCTTCTGGTCTTGTCACCGGACTTGAGCTCGAGCTCCACCTGGAGGGTGATGTCAAGAAGACCGAGAAGAAGGTTACTTGGTTGTCCACTGAGGGTCAGGAACTGGTTCCTATCGAATTGGTGGATTTTGACTATCTTCTCAACAAGGATGCCATGCAGGAGGAGGACAAGCTGGAGGATGTCCTGAACCCCAAGACTGAGTTCCGCGACGACGCCGTGGCTGACTGCAATGTCGCTGATCTGAAGGAGGGTGACATTATCCAGTTCGACCGCAAGGGCTACTACCGTGTTGACCAGGCGTACTCGCCGGGCAAGCCGGCTGTTCTGTTCAACATCCCTACCGGCAAGACTGGAAAATAAATGAGTTAGTTAGCGGATACTACCGATGATTAATGAGGATATACGAACGTCAGAACGAAATATCTTACTCCGTATGTAGGAAAAATATATTCATAGCTTGACATCTTGTCAGTTCAAGGTTACATTAATTTGGACTTTTTAGTAAGGATATTTAATCTCGCAACCGATCAGATGCCGTTCTCCATACTTGGATCTGTCTGCTCCGGCAAAATATACATGTAGCAAGGGCTCTGACATTTCCGGATCACGGCGGAGACTCTGTGAAATGTAGTAGTCCCAAAAATTCATAATTTTATCATGACGGGATGTTTCAAGCCTCTCAAACATCACATCCATGACGTTACGAGCGGTCGACGGCCGTTATGGGCTGTCCGGAAAGGGAAACTGGTCACAGTCGAAGCAACCCTCCGCTTTTATACTTCCGCAGCAAACGATTACGAGACAGCCTCAAAGAGAGGAACCAATTCAGGGCCATAATTCATTAAGAATCCTCTTAACAAACCACTTGGAAACAGTTAAAAGGGTGGTTGTATCTTCCGATATGGTCCCGTGACCGCGGAGGCCCGGATCTCCCGGCCCGCCCAACGCCAACGTCCCACGGACCACATTCTAATTCCAGCATGCCAATGACACCTGCAACCACCAATTCCCCGTACTCAACCATGTCTGTCGTTACATGACCTGCGTCTCCTTGTTCGTCGTCTCCTGTCAAACTGTCCACGGTCTCTTCCGGGGATCCTGCCGATGGGCAGACTTGCCAAGACCGTGGTTCTTATAAAGTCAATTGAACCAGTATGGTTATCTCCGGAACGAATGGAAGAATGAGAAAAGGGGATGACGGCTAATGCAAGGCCATGAAATGGTCCATCAACTTATTCTACGTCATGACACTGTAGAGCTCGACAAGAGTGACTGACTTCCCGGAGTCCCGGGAAGCACAAGAAACACAGCGATATTCGCACCAAGCAACCTGTTTTCTTTTGTATATCCAGCCTTGCCGGGAGCTTCCTAGCCTCGACGTCAGCATGATAGTCTGATATGGTGGAACGCATTGGCTCCCGGGTAACAATTGACTTCGGGGTCGCTGCCCTGTAACTTCTAAGAGCGAGACGGCAACTTTCTATTCCTATTTTCCCACCGGGTAGTCACAATATCGTAAGGGAAGACTTTTCCACCCAACGATCGTTTCTGACTTTCTCTCATTTCTCTTTCTCTTTCTTCCCTCTCTCCTTGCTTAATCTTTTCCCCTCCCTTTTGTCGTCAGAGTGTGTCTGGCGGAAGTGAGTGCAGTGCAGAGCAGAGCAGCAGAGTGTATCGAGCGAGGCAGCCAGCCTGAACCATCTTGCTGCCGCGGTAAGTGATTTCGAAAGACACAAGGATGGCCCAGCAAGGCAGCTCTGGCGGTGACATCGAGCGCGGAGATGCCCCCAGGCGGGTCTCCGAAGCTCCCTCGAGGCGTATCTCCCGAGCATCTATCAAGGAGGACTGGGGCCAACTCGACGAGTATGGCAAACTTGTCAAGTATGTCTCAACCTACCGCGACGCGGGTGAAGGAGATGGACACGCGGCCGACGAGGAGGAAATAGAGAAAAGGGTTTGGTACGCTCCTTGGAAGACGCGAAAGCTGCTTGTCAGGAAGACGGGTGATAATGCGGGCCAGTTTCCTGAAGAATGGCGTATTACGGATATTCGGGAGGGCTTGCCTAGTAGTGAAGTCCCGAATCGACGTCGGCGATCGGGATGGAACGAGTTGACTTCTGAGAAGCCGAATCCGATTGCTCAGATTCTATCCTACTTCAGGGGTCCTATTCTTTATGGTAAGCCATTTTATTCTTCTAGCCATTATATTTGGACTATGTCTAACATCTTTTACAGTCATGGAACTGGCCGTTCTGCTTGCTGGTGGTTTGGAGGACTGGGTTGACTTTGGTGTGATTATCGGTATCTTGTGTCTGAACGCTGCTGTTGGTTGGTACCAAGAGAAGCAAGCTGCAGACGTCGTTGCCAGTCTTAAGGGAGATATTGCTATGCGGTCATTGGCTATCCGTGACGGCAACGAACAGGAAATCCTTGCTCGAGAGCTCGTCCCTGGTGATGTGGTATGTAGCAACCGCAGAAATGGTGCGGTTCTTCTCAGTGCTGACACAATGATAGATCGTCATCGGTGAAGGTCAGGTTGTTCCCGCAGACTCCAAGGTTATTTGCGACTACAAGGATTCAAATGGCTGGGAAGAATTCCGCGCGCTGCAAGAACGTGGTGAACTCGAAGAAAGCAGCTCTGGCTCTGAGGAGGAAGAAAACAAAGAGGGCAAAGAGGCCGATGGAGATGAAGAAAAGAAAGAACAGGAGCAACAGAAGGCCAAGAAGCGAGGTTACCCCATTTTGGCTTGCGACCATTCTGCCATTACTGGAGAGTCTCTTGCTGTTGATCGTTATATGGGAGAGACTGTTTTCTACACGACTGGTTGCAAACGCGGCAAGGCTTACGCAGTTGTCCAGACTACCGCGAAATACTCCTTCGTCGGGCGTACAGCCACCATGGTCCAATCGGCTCAGGGTGCTGGTCATTTCGAACTTGTCATGGACAACATCGGTACTTCCCTTTTGATTCTGGTTATGGCCTGGATTCTCGCTGCGTGGATTGGTGGTTTCTTCCGTGGTCTACCGATTGCTTCACCTCGTCAGCAAACGCTCCTGCACTACACTTTGGCTTTGCTGATTGTCGGTGTTCCTGTCGGTTTGCCTGTCGTGACAACTACCACCATGGCTGTTGGAGCAGCTTATCTGGCTAAGAAGAAAGCTATCGTGCAGAAGCTTACTGCAATTGAGTCTTTAGCGGTATGTCACTATATCAGTTGGCACTGGACGAGACTAACGCAATAATAGGGTGTCGATATCCTATGCTCCGATAAGACCGGTACACTTACGGCAAACAAGCTGAGCATTCGCGACCCATATGTGTCCGAGGGCGTTGATGTCAACTGGATGTTCGCCGTGGCTGCTCTGGCATCCTCGCATAACATTGAATCGCTCGATCCCATCGATAAGGTCACTATCCTCACACTGAGACGCTATCCAGGTGCTAGGGAAATCCTCCGCAGGGGATGGCAAACAGAAAAGTTTACCCCATTCGACCCGGTCTCCAAGCGTATCGTGACCATCGCCACATGTGACGGAGTCAGATATACATGCACCAAGGGTGCTCCAAAGGCGGTTTTGCAACTAACAAACTGCTCCCCTGAAACAGCGAATGCCTATAAGAAGATGTCTACTGAATTCGCGCGTCGTGGTTTCCGTTCTCTGGGTGTCGCAGTTCAGAGAGAAGGCGAAGAGTGGACTCTTCTCGGTATGCTTCCCATGTTTGATCCGCCTCGCGAGGATACGGCGCAGACGATCCACGAAGCTCAGAACCTAGGTATCAGTGTAAAAATGCTTACTGGTGATGCTCTTGCTATTGCCAAGGAAACTTGCAAGATGCTGGCGCTCGGAACTAAAGTGTATAATTCGGATAAGCTGATCCATGGAGGTCTCAGCGGTGCCATGGCAGGTGATTTGGTTGAAAAGGCAGATGGATTCGCGGAAGTGTTCCCAGAGCATAAGTATCAGGTCGTTGGCATGCTCCAGGAACGTGGCCATTTGACTGCAATGACTGGAGATGGTGTTAACGATGCGCCGTCATTGAAGAAAGCTGATTGCGGTATCGCAGTCGAAGGAGCTTCTGAGGCAGCCCAGTCTGCTTCGGACATTGTCTTTTTGGAACCTGGTCTATCGACAATCATTGACTCGATCAAGGTCGCTCGACAGATTTTCCACCGCATGAAAGCCTATATTCAATACCGAATTGCCCTTTGCTTGCATTTGGAGATTTACCTGGTCACATCCATGATCATTCTGAATGAAAACATCCGTGTCGAGCTGATCGTCTTCCTGGCCCTCTTCGCCGATCTTGCAACTGTTGCAGTAGCCTATGACCATGCATCGTTCGAACTACGACCCGTCCAATGGCAACTTCCAAAGATTTGGTTCATCTCCGTCCTCCTCGGTATACTGCTCGCACTGGGAACATGGGTGGTCCGCGGTACCATGTTCCTGCCCAACGGCGGTATCATCCAAAACTGGGGTTCCATCCAAGAAGTCCTCTTCCTCGAAGTTGCGCTCACAGAGAACTGGCTGATCTTCGTCACGCGAGGGGCAGACACATGGCCGTCAATCCACCTCATCGCCGCCATTCTGGGCGTCGACGCACTGGCCACCATCTTCTGTTTGTTCGGTTGGTTCAGTAACGAAACCATGCCTACCAACCCGCCAACGTCATTCGTCGAGACCAGAAATGGATGGACTGATATAGTCACTGTCGTCCGTGTTTGGGGCTACTCAATCGGCGTGGAAATCGTCATCGCATTAGTGTACTTCATGCTGAACAAGTTCAAGTGGCTCGATGACTTGGGCCGGAAAAAGCGCGACAAGGGTGATCTGTGGATTGAGAATTTGCTCGCTCATCTGTCGCGTCTTACAATCGAGTACGACAGAGAGGGAGAGCCCAAGGGACGGTATTATCTTGCTGCGACCAAGGAAGAGGAAGAGATGGAGTAAAGTATGGGATGTCAAGTTATGCTGGCTGGGAAAACCTACTCTCTTGTTGGCTTTCAGGTTCCCTTTTCCGTTTACTATGTGTGTTTTGCAACCTGTTACATTTGATATCACGGAGTTCGAGTTTGGTGGAAAAATGTCTTATCCAAGGTATACTCTACAATTATATAATCACTAATATCTGGTAGTTCTATTGGAGTTAGATAGTTTAATTAATATATATACCTATGTCGGTTTGTTTTATTACATTTGGTGTCATTTTTTATGTGCAATTTTTTCTAAATTCACATGGATATCATGTGACGGTTACTCAAGGTCAATAACGCATCAAGTTTACATCCTTGCTCCAGGTCTCGGGACATTTTTGCCTCATATAGGCACTACACTTCTTAGGAAGACGGGCAAATTGACTTACACTCCTTCAGCTATCCAACCTCAATTCTCTCTGTGTTGTTCTATCCGGCCATGGAAACCAAATCGCCAAATTCGTTGTCATTGAAGGTGTTTTTTGGCCATCGTCTGAATGAGAACGACACAAATCTCCTCCACCAATGTCTTGAGCTCATCACGCAGCATTTTGGTCCCAACTTCTTTGTTGGTGGGATAGCTAGAAGCAGCCATGAAGTGTCTGCAAACACCGGTGACGAATCTCCTCTACCCTCAATACCACTATACCTACTGACAACAACCCATCTACCAGAATTTATCGACCTATCAACCACCACAAATCCACTCTCAGCCCTACAAGCCATAACCAGCACTCTCTCAAGAGTCGGAGAATCCAAACTATCCAATGCCCTAGACCACGTTCTCTACCTCTGCACCGAAGACCGCGAACTAGGAGGCCAAGGTCTCAGTCCTACGCATCCATTTACAGACGCAGATCGTGAGAAAGTTCGTTCTTTGGCTGATTCGTGGTTATATGCCAGTACCTATGATACGCAGATTCCTGGTACGAATTTAAAGGCGACTAAGAATCGTAAGCCCATGACACTTTCGGAGAAGATATTTATGCACCACGTACTTCCAGGGAGCAGGACTATAGAGTTGAAAGCTGGAGATGTGGTGCCTGTATCTGTGGATTGGGTTCTTGCGTCGGAAGTGTCCTGGAAGGTTTGACAACTTTATTTACTCAGATACCCAACATTACGATACTAACTCTGGTTACTATAGGGCATGATGAAAACAATCAATGAAGTCGGTGCCACGAAGATCTGGCGCAATGACCGGTTCTGGTTAGCGGCTGATCACATCGTCGATCCGAGAATTGAGCATGTGCCGAAAGTTAAGGCGTTGATTGAGAAGTCTGAAAAGGCGCAGAGGGATTTTAAATTGACGGATTATAAGGGGAAGAATGCATGTCTCCTGTTGCTTGGTTGCATTACCGTACTAATATCCTGATCGATAGTACACGATTCTTCACACAGAATTCGTTCGGGAAAGGGCCCAGCCCGGAATGCTCCTGGTAGGCTCGGACTCACACACCTGCTCCTCCGGAGCCGTGGGCTGCCTCGGAATTGGCCTCGGAGCTGCAGATGTTGCAATGTCATTGCTTACTGGGGCTTCATGGTTCAAGATTCCAGAGTCGATTAGAATTGATATAGTAGGAGAGCCGGGGTTCGGTATTGGAGGGAAGGACGTTATTCTCCATATACTGGGACAATTGAAGCGGAATACTGTCGCTGCGGATAGGATTGTGGAGTTTGGGGGGCCAGGGGCGAAATATCTTTCTTGTGATGACCGGTTTTCTATTTGTAATATGTGCACGGTATGTCTATCCACTTGTTATCAGAAGCTCTGCTGATATTATCAGGAATTCGGCGCCATAACAGGAGTCTTTATACCAGATATAGTCGTGCGAAACTACATAAACCGTCGAAAACGAACTCTCTACAAGTCCTCACCACTATATTTCCACCCCGACAACGACGCCCAATACGCAGAAACCTTCACTATAAACCTCACACACGTCCAACCCTACATCGCCCTCTACCCCTCCCCCGATAACATCATTCCAATCAAAAACTGCTCTCCAATAACCTTCGATGGCGCCTTCATCGGAGCCTGCACCACAACCGAAGAAGACCTGATACTAGGCGGCCTCGTCCTACAGGTTGGATTACAGGAGAATCTATCATTGAAAAATGGTAAGAGACATGTAGTGTTCGGTTCTCTGCCTATTACCAAACGATTACGGGAGCTTGGTATTACGGAAATTTATCAGGATGCTGGGTTTCGGGAGTCTGCACCGGGGTGCAGTTTCTGCGTTGGGATGGGGGCTGATCAGGCGGGTGTGGGGGAGACGTGGCTTTCGTCTCAGAATCGGAATTTTAAGAATCGGATGGGCAAGGGTAGGTCGTCCTATTTTGATTTCAGATGCAAAGCATGATGCTAATAGTGAGTATAGGCTCATTTGGCAACCTCAGTTCTGCGGCTGTTGTTGCAGCATCGAGCTTTTCGATGTCACTGGTCGATCCATCGCCATTTCTCGAGAAAGTGGACAGGAGCTTATACAAATCCTTAACGCGGAAAAATACCATTTCAAAACAGGCCGACGCGGTTGTATATGTCGAACCCAGTGTTCCGAAGCAGCAGCCCAGTCAGCAGCCCCTAAAAGCAGGCGCTGGCGTGGACCAGCAGACGCCTGGTAATCACACATGGATAATCTCGAGCAGAATCCAAACTCTCGGGGACTTCATCGATACTGACGCAGTGAGTATACTTTTAAATATTAATAATATCCGGGCGCTGAGAAGAAAAATCAGCTAGCACCAGCCGAATACCTCGTCGAATGCGAAACAGACGAAGCCCTAGGCCAGCACTGCATGGAACACACATTCCCTGAATTCCGGGGGGCAGTGCAAGCAGGTCGTCAAGTAATCGTGGCAGGTGAGAGCTTTGGTTGCGGGTCGTCTCGTGAGGAGGCGCCCAGGGCTCTTATTGGTATTTTCTCTCTTCTAATTCCGGTACCTCTACTCAAAGGCTAATGCGTGATAGGCCTAGGAGTCCAGTGCGTAATCGCCAAATCCTTCGCCTTTATTTACGGCCGCAATCAGCCTACCCTGGGACTTCTAGGGATTACTATACGGGACGAGTCGTTCTACGAGAGTGCAACAGACGATGCTGAGATCATAATCGATGTCTACAGCCGGGAGCTTACCATCGGAAAAGGGAGGTGGAATTTTGAGCTCGATAATCTAGAAATCAAAATGTTGCAGAACAAAGGCCTGGCGGAAGCATATAAAAAATTCGAGAAGAATGTATTTGATAATCTATGTGGAGATGGACATACGGAAGGGCCGGGGATGGAAGGCAAGTCTATTCATTCGTCGCTGGCGTGGTGAATGTGCAGTTTTCTCGAAACATCAGGCGGAAAACACCAGCTAATTCCAGTTTCCATTCCATTCCCTAATATGCTTCAGTCTAAACTTGTTAAGAGATACGTAGTTCCACATAAATCTGAACCATCACAACTACTCTCAACGTGCAGTGATATTGTTAGTAGACCCACTCCCCACCATCCATTAAACAACCCTCACACACTATAATCCTACCAAAGCCCCGGCGCCGGCCTCGCATGTAACTTCCTCGGCCTCCTCAAACCATCCATCACATCCCCAGGAACCATCTCACTCTCCAACCCCAACACCCTCACAACCGCTGCCATCGACGCCCCATGCCAAACCAGTTCCTCAACCACACTTCTCAAAATCATAGGCTAGAAGTCCCTCGGGCGAATTTGTCGATACAGACCACCAACCTCATCAACCTCAACTTTGCCCTGGGTGGCTTGATGGTTCCGGTAGTCGTTGGCTGAGGGGCATGTTGATGTTGAAACATGCCAGGTTTTGCTACTTGTGCACAGGATTAGTAGTCTTTTTCTTCATATCCAATGAAAAAGTCCAAATCGGAAGGGGGACTTCCAGCCGGGGTCGTTGTGATTTGGGGTGAAATTTGCTTTGCAGGTGCTGCATAGCACGATTCCTTATCAGGAGAATAGGGCTGTAGTTTAGGAGGCCTTTTGGTGAGGTGGTTTAGTTGGCTTATTAATTAGTCTTTCTTTAGGTCCTAGTTATAGTTAGGGTTGGGGACATACGTACAGTTTGATAGTCCCAATCTACCACGAGGGAAACATCGGGTGGTACAGGGATGCAGGTCCAGCATTGGTTTCGGGAGAGCAGTTTATTTGTTGTTTGGCGGTTTTTGTGAAGGTTATGTATTGGTCTGATGTGGGTGGCATAATATGGTTGGTTCTTCTGCTTGTGTTTGTGATTTTTTGTAGTTTACTAGATGCGAACTAAAGCCTAGATTTGTCATCTGGCTCGATTACAGATCTGCTACTTCATCAACACTTGTATATGTGTTATCTTAAGAGAAGGCGAATCTTAGATAGGAATTTACTTCTTATACAATCAGTCACTAAATTAACCAAAGCTCAAAAACAAATAAAATTATCACAGCTTGCTCTGCGGCGTATCACTGTACAATGCCCGGGTCCGGTTCATAGCCTCCACAGCCTCCCTCTCGATACGCTTGAGGAGCTCGCTGCAGGTTGGGATATCATGAATTAATCCCATGACTTGACCCGCAGTCCACACCTATACTGGTCAACAACATTTCAAATTGAGAGAGCAGGGGAAACGTACACCAAAATCCACATCACCGTTCAAGAATACCTCACGTCCACGCTTACCACTGACAAACGGAGCGACATCGCTGAATTCCCCGCTCTTGCTCTCCTGCTCCGCCTTCAACGCTTCCCGCGACACCTTGTTGCTGAACAGTCGGCTGGTGTTCCTCCAGCGGCGCAGCACCAGCGCGGTATCAGTCTCCTGGGAATTCACAATCGTCTCCTTGACCTTCTGATGAATTGGCGATTCGACAGTACACATGAACCTCGTTCCCATGTTAATACCCTCTGCGCCGAGCGCCAACGCAGCCGCCAGCCCCTGTCCATCAGCAAACCCACCGGAAGCGATAAACGGAACCTTAAGCTCCTGCCGCGCGCGACTAAGCAAGATGAAGTTCGTAATATCACTCTCACCAACGTGACCCGCGCATTCAAATCCATCAATGGACAGGAAATCAACGCCCAGCTTCACAGCGGACTTGGCGTGTCGGACAGTCGTGCACTTGTGCAGGATGGTTGTGTTGGCTTTCTTGAGCTTCTCGATGACGGGGCCTGGGTTATTGCCAGCTGTTTCGACGATCTTGATGCCCTCGTCGATGATGACTTGTGCGTAGGCGGCGTAGTCTGGGGGCACGAGGGCGGGCAGGAGGGTTATGTTTACGCCGAAGGGGTTCTTGGTCATGGAGCGACATCTGCGGATTTCTTTGCGGAGGTCTTCGGGGGTGGGTTGGGTGAGGGCTGTGAGCTGGGTGGTGTCAGTTTTCCTTCTATTGCAGTCATTGCAGTGGGGACACGTACAATTCCCAATCCGCCAGCGTTACTAACTGCTGCGGCGAGTTCTGCGTATCCAACCCATTGCATACCACCCTGGACGACAGGGACTATGTCTGTTAGCGAAGCGTTCAGGATAGGTAGAACAGAGTAATACCGGTGATGCCCAGTTTCCGCGTCAAGGCCGTATTGAAGGGCATCTTGACGATGTCGATGACTCTGGGAAAATAAAGAAGACCAGAATTCAGTCGATAGCTGGAGTTATGTACAAGATCAGACGGTCAGGTGAAGCAGCTTAGCCGCGGACTCCTTACTCTTTTGGGTGCGGAGAGACCAAATTGCCGAGGTTCGTTGCTGATTAGATATCACCGACGGCTAACTCATGGCAGTGTACAGTACTCCGTAGTGTACAGAGTAGACGGACACGGAGATGATGATTAACTGATCTTGCTGATTGCTATTTATCTGATAGTAATCGTTGACCGAGTATCGAGAAGCGACTTGATTCCTTTAACGACGCGTACCTGACCGCCAAGACCACACATGTGACGCCGGCGACTTTGGTATCTGACGCGGAGACATCCATGTCTGAATTAGAGCCCCGTGAAACTGCATGGTAGCCCTTGGTATCCTCGACAAGGTACTACGCGATTGAGTTGTTTTGGCTAGTCGGCTAACATCACTACTCGCATCTTCACGACCATCCAACGCCAGCATATTATATTTCGTGCAATTGAGCATACGAATAGATTATAGATGTAACCCTGATATGAAACCCCTTCCTTTCATGGATAGAAAGAACTGGGCGATTAACGACGGGCCATACTCCTTCTCGAGTCTCTAACCACCTCTGCGGTCGCGACAGAAAGCCGAAACCAGTGAGGTTCTGCTAAGCACATACGAATCATTCCTAGTGGTAAACGACGTGAGCTGAGACTCTTGGAGAGAAGAAGAGAAGAGGAAGAGAGACGGAGAGGAAATTCGGTTTTGAGAACACACATAAAAATATTAATCAGGCAGGCGGTGAAACATGGAAGAAGTATCTTCCGACTGGTAATGCCTCGCCTCTGATTGGTAGCGGCTGTACAATAACGCCCAAGTCCCGTGACCGGAGACGAACCCGAGGTTGTCCGTCCCCGTGATTCCGATCCGGCAATTGACGACGACGACGACGACGACGACGACGATTTTCTCCTACGAAACGACCCTGTCGAATTGCTGGATCGTGATTGTTCTTTTCGGTGCTGTCTCATATCGCCATGTTCTCTCAGAAGCTCGCTCAGCAGCCGCTGCGACGGCGTATGTACTCTGTGCACTCCGGATATTGAATCGTGGGGAATCCCGTACTGATCGTGATTTTTGTCGCAGTTGCCGTCCAGCAGCCCTACGCCATGCGCTGGTCCATGACCAACGGTGTCTCCCCTGCCTCCGTGGCTCTCGGAAACAATGTGCAAAAGAGGTCAGTCAGTCGATGTTCGAGTTTGAAGGGGCTCCGCGATGTCGCGATGAAGTCATTTGCGATTGGCGTCATGGCGAGGGGGAACATTATATACTGACTATACCAGACAAGCGGCCACCTCCTCCAACACCTCTGACCCGACTCAGATCCTCGCCCGGCAGCGCAAGAACCGCCCCGTATCCCCCCACCTCTCCATCTACCGCCCCCAGATCACCTGGATCGGCAGTAGCGCCCACCGTGTCACCGGTATTATCCTCTCCGGCGGCCTGTACCTCTACTCGACCGCATACCTCGCCGCTCCCGTGCTGGGCTGGCACCTCGAGACCGCTTCCGTGGCTGCTGCCTTCGGAGCCCTTCCCATCGTCGCCAAGGTTGGCCTTAAGAGTCTTATGGCCTTCCCCTTTGTCTACCACTGCATGAATGGTGTGCGCCACTTGGTTTGGGATCTTGGTCGTGGAATCACAAACCAGCAGGTTATTAAGTCTGGTTGGACGGTTGTGGGGTTGAGTGCCCTGAGCACGCTCGTGCTTGCTTTTCTGTGATTGATTCGATTCATACCTCTTGTTTTCTTCTTTAAAACGGTTTCTTGTGCTATATATTTTGTGCGGTTCAATTATGGTTTATTGCCCGTTTCTTCTCTTTGCAGGTTCATACCTTATCCTACGACCGGAAATTTTCCCTTACGTGTATACACTACTAAATGCATACATTGACATTTTTGGCTTCTGATTAGGCGTACTAATAGGTATTGTTGGTACACATTTCATTGATTATTATAACAGTTCGTCATTGTAGGCCATCTATGCCTTTCAAAATACACGTGATTATCAGATATCTTCAACGCGTCCCTATTCAGGTCATTAACACTCGACAAAATCGCAATAGCAGCAACATACTCACTCTATACCCAACCAGGACCGTTCAAGTGAAAAAATCTCAAGCAGGACTCGGAGGCGGATTGCTCGGCAACGGTCTCGGTGTGTTTGGTGGTGTTGGGGCGCCGCTCATGTTGAGATGTGCTCTGTTCTGGGGTCTCGTGTAGGGTGCGGTGTGAGAAACCATATTATTCGGCTTGAAACTTGCCGGTTTCGATATATCGGCGGAATATATGAGGATGGCAAAGAAGATAGATATGCATGGGTGACTGGCGTTGGTGTTGGGGCACTCGCCCGGAACGTATATGTGAAGATACTTTGCTTTTTAGGCATTTTGTGAAAGAATAAACCGCGCCTTTATAATTCCAGAAGTTTCATCAAGTCGTACACGATCTTTCGTTGCATATCCCTACGACGAAACGAAACTGTAGACAAGGCCACGACAATTTCTTGATGCTACCGGCAATCCGCAGTACAGTATGGGGAAATCGCTGGAATGTACTGCAAGGGCCCGTACCGATATGTTTGGCGGGGTGTTGGTGATACCTGATATCGGCTAAGTTATTTGGTAACAATCAGCATATATCTCGGGTGAGTACGAGGAGGGATCTGAAGACTATGGGAGAGAAAGAGAGATAGAGGGTGGAAGCACGTCAGGATTGGCATTTATTCTGCGTAGCCATAGGGAAGGCTTCATATTCAACGGCCTGCTTTTGTAAGATAAGCTAAACTAGCTGCCGCCTACAAGTCAACGCAAAAACAAAAAAGTTCTATCTCATGGTTAGGGCCTCGGTGACAAGACTAGTTTCCACATAAGCACCATTCATTTTACCTTATCTAGAGATGCATCGTCTCCAAAATTTTCTCCTCACTTCAACAGCGCTTTGAAAAAAATGTACCACTGAAATACAAAGTGCAAAAGCAACGTTACACAATCTTGCAGCGATCATGGATTATACACATCAACACATGGAATATACCTATCTTGTTAGTATAATGCTATGGTTCTGTCATTCAATTATGCAATAGGCATCTGGACGAATTTAGGGATAGTGTCAGTCGATCAAGCAATTATTTGACCTTGGACACATCATCTGATGCCGTTTTTTCATATCCTACGGAGAGATCCTAATCTTCTTACGCATCAGGCTCCCTTGCGCTGGCTACATAGTACATCTTACGATCTGATTTCTTTTCATATACCCATATTCTGTTTTAAATCGCTTTTCGGTACCCTAATATGCTATAAACAGTACCTCGTATCTCAACTAATTCCACAAATGCAGCGGGGGGTAATGAATGCTCTTGCCGAACACTCCTATAAAACTCAAAGTCCTTCTAGAAGGCCGCTCCGTTGTACCAAACCTAGAGATCCCCGGCCTGGTTTCCAGGAAATAACCCTGACACGGGATTATACGCTCGGGTAGTTCGTGATACGCTGCTTTGCTTCATCTTGCTTTCTTCATCTCCTCTGTGTCGTCAGCTTGGTGTTACTTTGCGTGTTTTAGGGCTTTTTGTGGTGGATTCCTTGCGGATTCTGTGTAGCGTTCTTTATGTCTACGGGTGGAGGGTAGAGTATACGAGGTGTGTATCTTTGTGATTATAAAGAGGTTCGAGGAATAAAGGGATGTACATCGCGGTGTGCTGGTATATCTCGCCCATTTTCATTCAATTGAAATGCTTCTCCCGGTAAATAATTCAATTCGACAAGCCAAAGTCATGCAACGGGCAAAATATATAGCTGTTCTTCGAAGCTTTATCACCGGTCGCCTTTACTGTATATTGCGCTGTGTTCTGTAATCATATATCATGCTTGTGAGAGCAGTGAGGCCACATATTTATAGTATTCAATCAGTTTCTTCCATTTATGTGCTCTTCTACTCCGTAGAAGTAGAGACTTCACTTGCTCTATCCTGTCTTCCCCCGGGGCAAATATTGGCAGTTGGCATGCGGATGAAATCATTTGATGAATCCATTTTAGAATGATTAAATCGAGTTGTTTGTAAAAATATTAGCAGAGTACTTATATATTTCTCCTTGAAAAGAAACGTACATGCGAAGATATACTCCTTGATAGCGCTAACCCAATCCAGTTTAGCGCCATTGGTCCGAAATTCTTCGAATTCATCCTCCGCACCTCAAGAAAATCCCCCAAACCAGAACAGAACTGCTCAGTTGCCCGCAGTTCTCCCATACACAACTCTCGCCATGACCTCCACACTCCTGACCCGGGCAGCCAGGCCCGCATGCCGCGCCCTGACCGGCCCCAACGCGATCCTCTCCGCCGCACAACTCCCACCCACCACCACCACCAACACCACCCGCGGATACTCGACACCTACAGAAACGATCGAACACAAACCTCGATGGGCGCATACCCCGCCCCGCGCAAAGGCCCCATTCAGTCTGCGGTATAATTCCCGACGGCCCGAGTATCTGGTGAACTCGGATCCAAAGAAGCTGGATCAGTTCTATATTCGGATGTTGGGTGAGGGTGGTGAGATGGTGCTTTCGGAGGAGGTGAAGTGGCTTGCTGTTACGCATAAGAGTTATGATCAGGGCCGGAGGGGATTTAATGATCGGTTGGCTTTTATTGGTGGGTGCATTCTCTTTCTCTAACGCTTTGCGGGCGTGGCATAGTGCTAATGGTAGTGCAGGCAAGCGCATCGTTCAATTGCAGACCTCATTGGCCCTGGTGCAGAACCCGGCGAACTCGACTGGCCCTGTTGCGGAAGACCTTCATGGCCGACAACCGTTTGCTCACCCGGCGCTAGAGGGGCTTGACAGTCTGTCCGACAGCACGAAGGTGTTGCTCACGGGCAAGACGAAACTGGCGCAGTTGGCGCAGAAGTACGACATGCAGAATGTCCTGAGGTGGTCGCCGCGGAAGGTCCGTCCTCTTTTCCTTCTACTGTTTTCATTGCTAGAGCTAACTGACGTGTGCAGCCCAACAACCTCGCTGCCTCCGGAATCGAACTCGTCATGGCTCACACAATGTACGCGGTTATCGGCGCCATTGCTCTGGAGAAGGGTGGACATTTCGCCAACAAGGTGGCCCAGGACCGGATACTGGAACCCTTGGGCGTGAAGACGATTGCCTAAGAGTTCTTTGGGAGGATATTACTGGGAATTGGCCGTAGGAGCATATCATGGCGTTGTTCCGTTGTCTCTTGTCTTGTTTCTTGATATGATATGTTTAAGGATGTGACATCCTCTGTATATGTACTTTTACGATACGGGTTTAGAATACCACGACTTCTCAACAAATTACATTGCATAAATAGATTGAATTAAGCAAAAGTATGTACGGTTCCTCTGACACCGCCCGGATAACCAGTAAAATACCCGGCCAGCTCTTATGGAACCCTCGCTGTAAAACGATCGTAGTCTCCGCGCCTCTGTATCGCAAGATTCAGCTATTGAAATTAACCTGACAACCCCCGCGACAGAATGCCACGAGAGTTATAGGAGCCTCCCCCAAAGGAAGAAGACTAATGCAGCCTTGCACTGTCTATCGAGAGCGTAAATTGGTACAAAGAAGAAAAGAGAAAAAGCATTAAACCGGCGGAGAGAAAATTTGTTTTTATGCTGCCAGTGCGAAAGGCGCTAGGCTGGATTGGGAATGGTGCATCTATTGGATTAGTAAGCTACGTGCCAATCTTTCATCCAATGGGGTGATAGCATAGTTGGGAGCGCGTTCGACTTGAGGATATACAAATATACCTTCGGAAAATCAGTAGGTCGCTGGTTATCCCGGTTCACCCCTTTTTTTGCCTTTGTATCGTATACCCTGTGTGGGATTGGATGCGAATTGAGGATGTTTGGTGATGTTCGGGTGGTCCGGACGTCAGTGGTATGGTTTTTTTTGGTGTTTTCGTATCTTTTTGTACGAATCATATAGACTAACAGCAAGGATACGAGAAGATGGTTGTAGATGCCATGTGCGAACGGTGAGAGTGTCTGAGGTAATCTTGTTGAAAACGCCAATTCCCATCTTTCACCGGCACGAGTGTAGAAGGGTTCAGAAAATTGCCATAACAATTGGCGTGAGGTTCCAGTACCTTCAGTAAAAGATAGTCGAGCACCTCATTGCAGTTGACACTGAAGCTCTGAAAATTTAGGACTGGGGTTTCTGGCTTCTGGTGTTTATCGGGTCGAAGGACAATCTTCTGAAGTCACTAACAGCCTGCAATATTGTTGAAAGCTGTCGATATTGTGAAGATCAGGTCAATTACACCTTCTGCAGCGCTCATCGAACTTGCAGCGGTCATAATACAGTCTCAGATTCTTCAGCATTGTCGTTCTTCAATCATTTAATCGTCTTGCGGTTGTATCTTGAGTTGATCTCCCTTCCACTCAAGTAGTCGATGGCCAGAGCTTCGGTCTCAGTTTTTTTCCCAGGTAGGAAAAGATATGGGAAACCATGTTCTCAGTATCCTTTGTACCACAGCCCCGAATCCCCTTCCCGTATGCCATGCTGAGCTGCCTGAACTGCCATGAAGCATTCTTCACAACTTCTTTGCGCAGCTGGCTTTGCTCCTCATTTTCGTCGTCTTCACGGCAGTTCTCAGGGAAGTCATTTGGGCTCATCTCATCTTTGTTTTCCGATTTGAACATGTCGTAAAAGAAGTATATTGCGTCCGTGATGCGGTTTCTGTACTTCCAGACGAACCTAGGGAGCTCCTTTCCAATAGACTTCAGCTCATGCTCTGCCCTTGTACTGGGCCTTCCTCATTGACAGTGACTCTTAGGTCTCCAAGCAGAGAGTTTTACAACTCACTTGAGCTGCTATTCATCGGTTCTACGTATATTCTGGTTTGTGGGAGGAAATTGTAGTGTCTTGGTCACTGAGTAATAGTATTAGTACCTGAGCATAAACAGGAGCTTTCTCGGTGAGCGTTCTTGATTGGGTAAAGAGGATTTATTGATATCTGTAACCGATTATACCGGACTGCTAGCATAGCAAAGATAGGGTGCGTACTGCCATTTTGAAAGGAATATGCCGGACTGATATCGGAAGATCTGGAGCCACTGGTTATCCAGACCCATCCCATTGATTTCACTCTTGAGTTCTATTCTCTCCTTTTTATACCTGATCGAAACATGTCCACCACAAACGAGCTGCGCTGTATACGACACCATCAAAGTGATATACATTTCTGCGCAAACCTGCACGTGTCATTCCCTCTGCCCATAAACCACCTAATCCTGCAACCCCCATCTCCCCTCTCCAATATGCTTCCCGTACAACTTCACTAGCACGCCAACAGTAATAGGACCGATAATTGTGTTGAGAAGAATCGCCCATACACCCGTGATAAAGCCCTCCTCGCTGACATACGAGGTCGAGTTGTATCCGATCTCAATGATCAAGAGGCCTATTTCGCCGCGGGCTACCATTGCTGAACCTAGGAGGAGAGCTGAGAGCCAGGTTGCGTGGGGTTTGTGGTTGTCCTCGGTTGGAGGTGAAGGACCGTGCTCTGTATCCTCGGTTTCTTTGGCTCGGCGGGATGGTTGGGGCTCGGACTTTTCTTTGGTGAATAAGTGCGCGAGAACTTCCCATAGCGGAACCCAGATTCCAACGATGAGCTAGATCCCATGGTTAGATAAAATATATTTCTGACCCAGATAGTGGCTTACCTTCGCGAACGCCATAAGAAGCGTATACAGCACCCCTCTCCAGATGCGCTTCCCCGTCCAAAGCTGAACAAAAGGAATCGCAAAGCCAATACTCGCAAAGAAAAGAGGCGCCATTAGATACTCCTGCACACCTAGCAGATAGGCTTCAAACGTATGCACAAAAGTCGGGCTCTTATCTACCTCTCTCTCGCCCTCCTCCCGGCTCGTCACGATAAATGGTCCATCGGGATGTTTGCTAGGGAGATATGTGAGAAATGTGCCTGCCAGGAAGGCACCGAATAGAATAGATGTCCCAGTATACGAGGCAATGCTGATAAATGCGCACAGTACTAGGACCATCAGCACAATATTTGAGATGTGGTCGTACCGTGCGAAGTGATACTCGATGTATTTCCGGAAGACGGGTGCGAAAAAGTACTTTGTGACGATGGGTGTGACTATCGTCATCGCGATGGAGGCTACGATGGGACGTCCGATGAGCCAGCCGAGATTGACGTCTCCGTCCCCTGAAAGCTTGCTCAGATCGCCAATTACACTGTGTTGGTCAGTATATTTATGGAATCACCATCCAGCAAGTGACAAGGCTAACCTGGACATGACAAGTCCGGAGACATCATCAATAACCGCTGCGCTCACGAGCACTGAGCCCACTCGAGTTTGGCCAAGATCGATGGTTTCGGAGGCCGATGAGATCACAGCAAACGTCGTGCCTGAGATTCTGTTAAAAGTCCGTCCTAAGATTTCCGGAAAAGCGATCATACCCAAAGAGGTAGCCGACAGCGCAGCGCCGATGATGAATGTCTCGACAGCGCCATAACCATACCCCAGATACAACAACAGATATGAAAGCCCGATCGGAAAACAAACACCGGTCGTAGCAGCCACATTACTCAACACGAGATTCTTCTTGAGAAGATCTAGTCGAGCGGCAAGACCACCTGCCATGACGTCAACATCAATAACCGTATACAATGTGCCAAAAACAGACCTTCGAAGATAATCAAAATCAATCCGACATATCCCAGCGCCAGGAAGGTCTTTTGCCAATTGATTTCCAAGATATTGGCCAGCGGCACACCGTAAATGATGCCCACCGCAATATTGCCAATAATCCCGGCTCGGATAACCTTGGCAGAGAGCCATTCTGCCAAGCAGAGGATGAAGAAGAATGAAATAATCACCAGGATTTCCACGACTGTCGCAGTTAGCACCGACTCTCTCTGTGGATGGGGATAGAGCACATACTGCTAGGCTCGTGGTAAGGAAGAAATCCGCCAGCCATACTGCAGCCACATGAGATTGGGTTGTGGGGAAATGGGAAAACAGTCGCGTGCTCGGGTTTCGAACTGCAATTGAGCAGGAAAAGTTCGTTGTTGGTGATTTACAGATACTTGAGAACGCTTCCATGGCCATTCTTTATCGAATACTGTCACGTCACGTGTATGGGGCAACGGATTACCCACGTTCTCACCGTCCACGGTTCTACTGGCCTAAATTTTTTGTTGGCCAAGCAAGGCCAAGAAGTGGCTATCTCGGCTGCTCGGTCGACTGGTGCTTGTTACTTGTACTGGATTGACAATGATTGTGAAAGAGGGTTCAATCTCAATCACTGTTTATTTCATAATGTCTAATTCTGCTATAATCCCGGGTAGGGTCACAGGCCAAAAGAAGAGAATTGTCCGTGCCAGAGACGCGGGCTTCACGAACACATCGGATAACGCCGGAACCGGAAACATCCCAAATCGTTTACGATATAGCTAAACAGAAAGTCCAAGGAAGATCAATCCATATGCAGAGTCGAGACTCAGCTGCCAAGGCAAAAGAAGGGTCCGAGACAATGCAGCTTGCAGCTCACAGCTCGCAAATCACCTCTCTTGTGGTTATGGTTTGAGTCACGAGCATAAAACAGCTGTCAGTTGTAGGCGACACTCTCCGCCACTGTATCCATATGGAGTTTACTACTTACTGTGTTTGGTTGATTCGGGGAGAGCATGCGTATACTTGTAAATCATGCAGCCCACGCTCAGGCAACTTCTACCATCCGTACGTACCTTGATTTGTTAAACCCCGATTAAGCACAAAACGGAAGCAAAAAGAGCAAAAAATTGGGGTGAGCCGGGATCGAACCAGCGACCTTCCGATTTTCCGAAGGTATATTTGAATATCTTCAGTCGAACGCGCTCCCAACTACGCCATCACCCCATTGGATGAGAGATCCAGTGAGAGTTGCTACTCAATCCCAAATATTTGTAACAGTCTGATATGCAGTCGCTCCAGTTTTCAACTCTCTCTGAACCAGTCGCAAAATCCACCCGCGACGGACAGGAATATATACCATCGAAGAAATGCTTCGAATCAGCTCACTGTCGGGTCTGGTGTCCACACAGACAGACAGTACCGTCACCGGTCATGAGCAAACAGGCCTGGCAAAAAAAAGATGCTTCTACCCTCGGGGTGGAGAGAGCAAAAGCAAAAATACATGGGGTGAGCCGGGATCGAACCAGCGACCTTCCGATTTTCCGAAGGTATATTTGATATATCTTCAGTCGAACGCGCTCCCAACTACGCCATCACCCCACTTGTTGAAAAACGGAACGAAATATTTATTCAGTCGTGAAAATGTCACTTACTGTCGTCGAGCCGGCCTCGATCAGTAAGTCATCTTTACTCTCCGGAATTTTGTCACAGGCTGCGCCTGTAGAATGAACGATATGCTAGTCGGAGGAATGATCGGAGTGGTTACTTGACTACTACCCCGCATAACGTACTTTTGTATATAAAAGGCTGTCCGATGGGACATCCGTTCTTCTCTCCTTCAACGAAACCTCTTGTATGATAGCTAGTTATTAGCGTTGCGGGCTTAGCCCTTAACAATTTTCAATGCCACATCCACCGATAACTGCACGAGAACAGAAACAGGGACAGAACAGGACCCTGCTTTCCTCCCCATCTCCGCATTCATGGCAGATTGAGAGTTCAATCAGTTTTTGGACGAGTATATATACTTCCCGGCCTGATACGGGCACGGGCAGGCTACCCGGAGTACAAGCAGTATGCCGAAGATTCCCAAAAATAAAAGAAAAAATTGGAAAAGCAGTCTATTGAATGATTTGTACAACTTTGATTTGATCGCTCTCAAAGAAAGCGGCTTTCTTTGGCAGCCATAAAGAACAATGACGCGAGAACAATGAATAAATCAACTAGGCTGCGGCAAAGCCATGGCTAGCCGCGGTTAGCCAAAGCCAAAACCGCACGAGCCACGATTAACCATTGGGGCTGCAACAATATAAATGTGCCGAGACTCGTTAGCTGCCAGGATGTGTATAAATTATGCGTCTTTGATTGTATTTTTGAAGCACAACGTCACCAATAAACTTGAAGTTACAGGTTACCATCATCCAGTAACCTTACGATATAAGTTTAGTATATTAAAATAATGCTACTTATATATAAACACACTAGTATTTCGTATGATTTCATATAGGAAGTAGGTAAATGTGTAGAAGGGTACTGTCATAACGAGGGCATGTATATATCGAAATTAGAAATGGATGTACCATGTATGTCAGCGACATAATTATGAAATAATGGTCGTGAATAGGACAAATAAGCGATATCTATGCTAATGCGGTTATCTTGCGGCTAGCCATGGCTAACCACAACCAAAGCTGCAAATTGCAGGATTGGCTTTGGTTAGCAAACTGCGGCTGCGGTTTTGCCGCAGTCTAAAATCAACCCAACGGTTAACTGAGACAGTACCTGATGATGTCTTTATGTTTAGCAGTTTCTTTTTTGATATGAGACCACCGCAGACATTCACAAAACACCAAAAAGCCAACGGGGGTAAAAAAGACAGAAGGACAAATAGATAGATAGAAATAAAGAAGAAAAGAAAAAAAGAAAGAAAGAAAGAATATGTCCGCAAGCAAAAATACATGGGGTGAGCCGGGATCGAACCAGCGACCTTCCGATTATCTGATAATATCTTCTGATATCTTCAGTCGAACGCGCTCCCAACTACGCCATCACCCCATTTGATGGATAACATATTCCTTATCATGTTATCTAAGCCTAAAAATTTGTAAATCACCGACGTGGGTAATCCACCTCTCATCGGTTTACTGACAGCACCATCATTTCATTTCTTCCATCCAAATTGATTGATCCTTAGCATAGCAGCTGGTCTGTCTTCCAGGCTGCTATTACAACCGATAACTTCTTCCCTCTGAATTCCGTGGCCCGCGCTGGCGATGCTTCCTAGAGCCTAGAGCAGAATAGTTGGTTTCGTTGTCGTTAAGGAGAGTCGACCCAACGAGCAACACGTACTCTCGACCACTTCTACCGCAACCCTCATCTCTTAATACAACACCATGGCGTCCGCTCTATTCTTTCTAGACTTGAAGGGCAAGGTATGCTCAATTCCCATGTTGCACTATCTCTCCGTGATCGCAACTGACACCATAGCCAGGCCCTTCTGGCCCGCAACTACCGTGGAGACATTCCCATGTCCGCAGTCGAGAAATTCCCCCTCCTCCTCAGCGAAGCCGAAGAAGAAAGTTCCGCCGTCGCGCCATGTTTCTCGCATGAAGGAATCAATGTACGTTCGCCCTCTCGTTTCTCGCGGGCTGGGAGGCTTGCGTGTCCGCTCCCCGCCTCTTCCCCGACTGCGCTCTGGATCCTGGACATGCCCTACTGGGACTTGGAGCAATTGCTGATTCTGTAGTACCTCTATATCCGACACAGCAACCTTTACATTCTTGCGTTGACCAAGCGGAATACCAATGCGACGGAGATCCTTCTCTTCCTCCACAAGATCGTCGAGGTATTCACGGAATACTTCAAGGTGCTGGAGGAGGAAAGTATCCGGGATAACTTTGTCATTATCTACGAATTGCTGGACGAAATGATGGATTTTGGCTACCCACAGACCACGGAGAGCAAGATATTACAAGAGTATGACCAACACAATTAAGGGGGGAAGAAACTGAGCACAGCTGACCTGACAGGTACATCACGCAAGAATCCCACAAACTCGAAGTCCAAGCTCGCCCCCCAATCGCCGTCACCAACGCCGTCTCCTGGCGAAGTGAAGGAATCCGCTACCGCAAGAACGAGGTCTTCCTCGATGTCGTCGAATCCCTGAACCTCCTCATTTCCGCAACCGGCAACGTCCTGCGATCCGAGATCCTGGGCGCGGTCAAGATGAAATGCTATCTGAGTGGAATGCCAGAGCTGCGTCTGGGGCTGAACGACAAGGTCATGTTCGAGACAACGGGGCGCGCTACGAGAGGCAAGGCGGTGGAGATGGAAGACGTCAAGTTCCACCAGTGTGTGCGTCTTTCGCGGTTCGAGAACGATCGCACGATCAGCTTTATTCCGCCGGATGGGGAGTTTGAGCTCATGAGCTACCGGTTGAACACGCAGGTGAAACCGTTGATCTGGGTGGAGTGTTTGGTGGAATCGCACTCCGGGTCGAGAATTGAATACATGCTCAAGGTCCCGACCCTTCCTCTTACTACACAAACGAATAACCACTAACAAACACAGGCCAAAGCCCAATTCAAACGTCGCAGCACCGCCAACAACGTCGAGATCCTCGTCCCCGTCCCCGAAGACGCAGACTCCCCCCGCTTCCGCACAAACATCGGAACCGTGCACTACGCCCCCGAACAATCCGCCATAATCTGGAAAATCAAGCAATTCGGTGGCGGGAAGGAGTTCCTCATGCGCGCCGAGCTGGGCCTTCCATCCGTCAAGGGTGACGACGAGCGCGGCGGTGGTATGACCGGTGGGTTTGGCGGTAGTATGGGTGGAGCGGGTTCGTTGGGGAAGGCGAAGAGGCCGATTAATGTGAAGTTTGAGATTCCGTATTTCACGACGAGTGGGATCCAGGTGCGGTATTTGAAGATTACGGAGCCGAAGGTGGGCTTTCCCCCCCTGTCTCATGAGAATGATGGGATATGCTGACCTTTTGTAGTTGCAATACCCGTCTTTGCCGTGGGTGCGATACATTACACAATCGGGTGATATAGCTGTTCGGATGCCTGATGCTCAATAGATAGATGTATAGTGTAGTTCTTTCTTTTTAATCGAATGTTTGAATATTGCATGGCAAGATTGTACGGTAGTCGATATATATTTATACTTATTATAATATATATATGTGTGCGTGTATAAGCACATCCGCTTTTCTCCATGCAGCTTAAGCAACTAAGTAAAAATATACCATGGGTCCTAAAATTCATATCAGGTCCAACTACCTCCAAGTAAGCGAAACATCATTTGAAACAAAGACAAAGAATGAACATTTATTTGAGAAGGCTACAACACCTGGTGCATGGGCGGAGGGAAAAAATTGATTAACACATAGACCGCTACAAACCCCCTATTGACATCGACTAGCCGGGCTAGCTCAATTGGTCAGAGCGTGTGACTTTTACGACCCCATTTCGGGCGTGAATGCACCCCCAATCACAAGGTTGCGGGTTCGAGTCCCGCGTTCGGCTTTTACCTTTTTCTCTTTTTTTTTTCCCTCATTAAATACCCCTCCCGAATCGATGATTTCTTTACACTGGATAGACATCGGTTACGAACGACGGTATTCTATCTACTCATCCACTGGCCTGTCTGCATGTGGTATGTATGGAGAATAGCAGTGCATCTGTTAAAAAGGAATATATCCAGACTTTTAAATACACTCAGTTCAAGAAACAGGCAGTATCACCTCATCCAATTCAAGCAGCGTAAAGAAAAAGAAACTGAGAGAAATGCTATCCATGGGTATCCAGTAACCAGTAATCAGAAAAAAAAAAAAGGGAACGAAAGATATCGCATTACTTTCAACCCAAACGCCGTATATATAAACACAACACAGCACAGGCATAACCCAAGAGACATTAACCATGTACCCCAGTCCCATCCGGAGTTAGAGTCTCCGGCGTTGGCAGCGGAAATCCATCCCCATACCCTGCCGCTGCAGCTTTCGAGAAACCCTCTCTGGCAAGCATCGTATTTAGCACGGCGCAGTTATACGCCGCCTCGCCCGGCGGGACGACCATGAAGATGTACGTGTTATCCGTGAACCGACCGAGGAAGACGTTGAACTGGGGTGTTTTGGTGTGCATGACGAGAAAGCCGGCTGATGCGGGGGTGGTGTGGGTGTTGCGTGCGGCGCAGTGTTTGAATGCTTTCATGATGTTGGATAGGCGCTCGTGGCGGTCGTAGATTGGGTTCATGTTGCCGATTTCCGACGCGACTGACGTAACGGTCAGGAACGTCGAGCGCTCGAAGAGAATAACCTCCTCCGCACCAATCTTCTTCGCGAATGCGCTAAGGAACCGCTCTATCACTGTTAAGTTCGGAATGAGTCTGTGCACGATCCCGGCCCACGCTTTGTACAGCGATTGATCCCAGATACTGCTACCAAAGGTGTCGATGGCAAAGTGTCCGGAGCGGGAGCGGATCAGCGCGGAGCGTTCCTCGTAGATGCGTTGGCGGTGTTCGGCCTGAATGAGATCGAGTTTGTGGATTAGGCAGAAGACATGAGCGTGCGGGGAGTGTTCTTTTAGGGCGTCGATGATGGCGTTGTAGGTGTCGAGGTCGCGTTCGACTTCGCGGGATTCGATATCGAAGACGTAGATTAGGACGGCGACGTCGGAGAAGATGTTGCCGCGTTGGGAGGCGAGGTAGGTTTCCATGAAGGCGTCTTGTCTGCGACGATTAGCATCTTTTCTCACTTTTGATAGAGTAGAGAGGGAAATACCCTCCGCAATCCCAGAGATTCAGCGTGAGATTCCCCATGAATTTGACATGGCTGTGCTCAACGTCGATGGTAGCACCTAGTCGCCGGACGTCTTTGGCGACGTAGTTACTGAAGATAATCGATCGCATCGATGACTTCCCCGAGCCACTCTTCCCCATGAGGAGGACCTTTCTCTTCTTCTTGCGGCCGTCCATTGTCGGTTCAGTCTTATCTGTAAGCTGATACCCCGCGTGTGCTAGTTGGAGGTCAGCGAGTAGTGTTGAATTGGACGAATTAGACGCACTAGAGATTGATTGTATCGCTTAGAATTGATAGATTGATGAATTTCACAATGAGAGAACGTCGCAATGATGGAGGTTGGAGCAGAGGTCATGTCATTGGGTCAATGATGATCCGGGGTATCACGTGCTGCCTCCCCCAGCAGTTGATATGCCCTCAATTTACTCCATACACCATACTAATTCATAGATTGCTCTAACAGTCTCGAGTCTAATACATGCAGCCCTTCAACTTGTTATACTCAGTCCCAAAATAAAAGAAGAAAATGTATATACTGGAATAAAATCATAATGATGCTTAAAGGGTTATCGAAGCTTCCACGAAGTTGAAAATGGAATATAGGTATACCAAGGTAGTCAAAAAGAAGGGTCATCAACAATTCATAAGGAACTTCTCCCGGTCATGACGAGAAGAATAACATAGCGCTGGGTAAACCTGGTATCTGAAAATCATGGGTATGTGATGAGGTATGGATTAGAAGACGGTGCCATCTGAACGGATCATAATCGGTGGTTCTTTGGTGTTTGGTCTCGAGACCTCTGCAATTTCACGGCCACCCTAGGAATGTTAATATGATAGCTAGATTTCGGGAGAGTTGGGGGTACACCAACCTTCCATGAACCAGCTTCGAGTAGCTGCGGAAGCGTCAATTGATCCTCTCCCATCAAACCAAGTTGCGAGTTGACCTCCAGTAGCAGCTCATCCAAGAAGCCAACAGTAGCAGCTCTCCACTCAACAATGACATCGTCATCGGCGGAGAAAAGAGGAACGACCTCCACGCTCGGTTGACCCTTGATCTGAGAATTCTCCCGGAATGCTTCCAGACCGCGCTGGAGATCCTGTTCCTTCAGAGTCATCAGGCCCATGTCAATCAGCAGACCACCGTTCCGGTACTCAGGCAAACCGGTGAGAAGGTCGCTGCCCGCGAAGTGAATGTTCATCAATTTCTGCATCGGGACCATAACGGAGTAGCATAGCCATTGGGTAAGCTTGTGGAAAGGAACGATGCTCTGCCATGCGGGTGCTGGTGGAGACTGCGGCAAGCTCCAGCATCGCCAAGCATCCCCAAGGGGTGCACCATCGATCTGACTTCTGGAAGACGGCCAAATCGAGGAGAATCCATCCATCAAAACGGACCAGAGCGTTGTGATGGGGACGATGGGAACCGAGGAAGCCAGTGTCGATGGGTGAGAAAGGAGGTAGTCTACAACAAAGTACAATTAGTACAGGTAGAAGTAAGGTCCTCGTGGCTACTTACCAAGCATGTTACCAGGACGACCATCCACCCCGAAAAGCTGCTGGTTGTTCAAAGCGTCCGCCAATCGAATCAACAGTCCTGCGCGACCCTCTAAACCAGCCAACGGGTTCTGATCGGAATGTTGCATTCCCTTGGCCAAAACATCGACGGTGAGCTTCTTCAACCCAGCACTGTCGACCTGGCATGGCTCCGCGGGGTCACTGCTGAAAAGACCACTCTTGAACATCTCGAGAGCCGCGATGGCTAGACCCTCACTACGCGAAAAGTACTTGCCGGATTCCTTGGAGCGGTAGGACCACCGGGTCCCTGCGCCGGCATCGAGAAGAACGGAGATGACGAACAGATCGATCAGACGGCGGGTCCGTTCCTGCGCATCGACGGAACTAGGCCACGATTGGAGTAGTTGGTTGATGCGAGGTCGACCACCAGCTTCGAAGTGCTGCCAACGGCCATGGGACGGGATAGAAGCATAATCGGGGGCGTAGTCTCTCTTTAGATCGACAGTCAGAGGGAGGCGATCACATGAAAGGAGGAAAGATAAATCGAAATTACCTTGATGATAGACACCACGTAGGAAGCGGTGATTCCAAACTTGGTCATATCAACATTGAAATGGTTGAGCTCGTTCCGTTTGGCCTTTCGCAAGATAATGTTGCAGCGATCCCGAACGGCATGGATGCTGCGAAGGTAAGCAGCGGGATCCAAGGCGGGATCGGGAGGTCTAGCGATAGGGAGCTCTGGAATCGAGGTGGGCAGACCACCCGCTCCCTTGAAGCCGGGGGATTTCAACGAGACATTCGAGGTCCGCGCACTGGGGGCGGAGACGTAGGATTCCTGTTCATCCTTGTCGCTGTGGATGGACTGTTTGGAGTCTTTGCGTTTGAAAAGGCCCATAATGTGGGAGGATTCGGTAGGAAACGGTGCTCTGAGGGGGAGGGAACGGAGGAAAGGAAGGTAGGAAAGAGAGAAAAGAGGAAGAAAAAGAGAAAGGAGAATGGAAGGAGGAGGAGGAGAAATTAACGAGACGAGGGAAAAAAATGCAGAGGAGCACCACAGGGGGGGAAACAATGCGCTATGACGGGATTGTAATTTTTTTTTTCTCTCCCTCCTGTCACCGTCAAGCCGGACTAATTGGGATCGAGAATAATAAACAATAGTAATCACTAATAAAAGATTATTATTTTAATCCCGACGATAATAACGCTACTTTTTCGGGGAAGAAGTACTCCGTAGCCCGCGGTAAATAAATAAGATGTGGTATGAACGGAAGGACCAAGTGTCAGGAGACTGCAGTGCTCTAGTAGTGATGAACTGTAACGTGAACTGAAAAGGAGAAGAGGAAACGAGCAAATCTTATTCTGGATTACTCGACTTAGTTAGCTAGTCTTATTTTTTCTTCTTCGTCTCGTTCCTTTTTTTCGCTAGTGGAGAAGTGGAAGCTGCCACGGTGGATGTGCCCCGCCATATACCAAGTACCCAGCAAAGCACGGAGGCTTCCTGTTCACCCAAAGATACCAACTGTCCAAAGAAGTTCCGTAGATCCAGTGCCAGCACAGACGCCTTGACCAATTCTCCCTGACTCCAACCGGCTGGTTCACGATGCCTCTCCGTGATCCGTGTCCACCGTTAAAACCTTTTTGATTTGTTAATATCGGAGTAGTTTCGGGGTTGTTTCCAGGGCAGAATCGCGGAAAAACGCCGAATCGGTAAGGTTTAATTGTACTTTGTTTGTATCCCTGGAGTACTACTCTGTACTATCAGAATACAATGCATTGTACAGTTCGAGCAGGTCAGCCAGGAGTCAGGAGTAAGGGTTTCCCACGGGACCAATCAGCAACCATCGGGATGCGCTAGTCCACACGCGTGCGACTACCGCGCGGCTCGATTTCCCCGAGACCCATTGGTGGGACCGGTACATTGGACTAGTGTATTGTATTCTATTTTGTACTTCGTACAAAATACTCCAGAGTGGTTAAGAGAGCAGAGACTTATAGCTACAAACAAGTACAAGTGTAAAGGAAAGATATGCACGGCTGAACCCGCAATGCATGCAATACCCACGGCCCTCTGATGCGGGGCTTGAGTAGAGTCATGATGCTACTACTATATACAAGTAGAGTTTAGTATCCCACTTCTGCTCCTGCTCATTTCCATGGTTCTTCTTTTAGATAGTCTGCACGTTCCTACTGAGATCGGGTCCCGTACCGCCGTATTTTGCCGTACCCAGTATAGTTCTCAAAAATACACCGAAACTTGGTTATCAGCTGGCCACCCTGTTATAGCTGCATTGTTACACCTCCGACTTCCCAAGTAAAACAACACTTATCTTGTTTGGCGCACAATGTGATACCATCGTCCTGTCATAGCACTCCACACGGAGTGCGGTATGCGGTATGCGGTATGCGGAATGCGGAATGCGGAATGCGGAGGAATAATATCCCACAACCCGATTACTAAGATACATCAGCCACACCCGCCACACCAAACACGTCAGCCACAATGACGGCCCGCTCTAGGGGATGGTGAAGCAACGTGCCCACGAGACACTTGGACGACTTCCTTGCTCCCAATGTGCTTGCAACATTGTTGACCTTCTAGAAAGAATCAGGACACTCATTTCAACCAACATCAGTTCATTCGTTGCCGTTGGCTTTCTGATGGTGAGACACGACTATGGCTCCGCTACCATACCAATCCTAATCCAGCATCCAGCTTGCTACGAAATCGTCCGATAATTCTAATACTGCGGAATTTACGCCTCACCATGGACGACCTCAGCGGCCTGAGCTTTACCCCCAGCTCGTCCAACGAGCCCAAGAAACCGCCACCCATGAGCTCCGGCACGCTATTTCCAGACGTGCGGCGCAATGACAACTCTGGCCGGACTGCGCCTCTATCGACTTCCTCCGGACGCTCGAATACTCCCTCAAAGCCGGCAACCCCAGCTGGCGACAGTTTCGCAAACCTAGTCTCGTTCGGCTCCTCCAATCCCAACAAGAACCTGTCTCTCGCCGAGCAACAGAAGCGACTACAGGAGGAAAGGGCCAGGAAGGAAGCGGAGAATAGAAGTCGACTTGAGACGCAGTACGGTGCGCAGAATAATCAGTTTTGGGATACTCTGGAGAAGGGTGGTAAGCCTGCCGCGCCTACTCCCTCTCAGCAGCCACAATCTCCCGATGAAGACGACATCCTAGCCGCCTTCAACGCTACTGCGCCGGTGGACGCATCGACACATTTCCCAATCCCCAGTCACAGCCCGTCTCCTCATGTCGGAATGACCCCGGTGCAGCAGCCGGCTTCCACTCGACCAGCTCCAGCACAAGACCCCATGGCCATCTTTGACGATGACGACCCGTTCGGTCTCGGTCAGATGCCTTCCAAGCCGGTCCCAGCACCGCAGCCTGCGCAGGACGACGACGACTTTCTTGGAGAACTAAGTAAACCAGTTACTGAATTCTCGCGACCGGAATTGCCACCAAAGCCCAAGACCTCCGAGTCCGAGCCCGAGTTCGAGCCCCAGCCCCGGCCCCGAGTCCCACCCAAACCATCAACTGGAGTAGACCGGGCGATTGCAGAACTTGTGGATATGGGATTTCCCGCGGATAAAGCGAGCCAGGCATTGAGCACGACGGCTTCGGGTACCGATATTCAAGCGGCTGTTGGCTGGCTTCTTACCCAGGCGCACGAGGAGTCTCGACAGAAGACTGGTCGGAGATCAAGACTTGAACCGCACCCCAGTGAATTGGAACAGAGCGGGGAAAGACGTGGAAGGAGAGATCCGTCGTGGATGAGAGAGGAGAGACCTACTGTCACCAGGACCCGCAGTGACAACAGATCACCTGCTTCTGCGGAGAAAGATCCTGCCCAAATTGCTGCTAGCTTTGGAAACAACTTTCTGAAAACTGCCAACTCTTTGTGGAAAACCGGGAGTAAACGCATGCAGCAGGTGGTCCAGGATCTGAATGCGGACCATGATCCCAATCAACCCCGATGGATGAAAGAAGCTACTGGTTTTGACGAGTCAGTCCCGCAACCACGTCCTCGTGGCCGTCAGCAGCCTTCTGAGCTTCCTGAAGCAAGTGCCCCAGGAATGACTGACGAGGCCCTCCTCCTTGAATCAGGGGGTGCACCTCCTCGTCCGCCTCGCAATCTCCCATCTCGCAACCCATTCCAGCGGCATGATGTACCGGGTCCGACGGCCAGCACCAGTGATCTCCGAAGCCAAGCTTCATCCCGCGAAAGGCGCGAGCCACAGCCCTCTTTTCTTCGACAGCAGACAAGAGACGAGTCGAGAGATTCAAGATCCCGTGTCAACAAACTCGCAGTGGAGGAGCAGTCGGCACAAGCATACGTCAGTCCTGCCCGAAGGAAACGGCCAGTCCCGTCGCCTGCGCCTGCACCTGCACCTGCACCTGCACCTGAACCAGCTGTCGACCTGTTTGATTCGCCCGCACCCACTAGTCGACCAACACCAAAGCCCTCTCCTTCCCCGGCTCAGCCATCGCGGCCTTCTACTACGCCGTCTACTGCTTCTCTGCCAACACGCCCCAAGGCACCTCTGCGGTCGATACCTCCTGTTTCCCAGGAAGCCCTCGATTCCACAAACCGGCACCGCACCAAAGCAGCAGACGCTTACAAGAGAGGCGACTACGCAGCAGCCCACGAGAGCTTCGCAACAGCTCTCACAATGCTCCCCGACAAACACCCAATCACCATAATCATCCGCAGCAACCGCGCAATGACAGCCCTAAAAGTCGGCGAACCAAAATCCGCCATCATCGACGCGGACGCAATGCTCGACCTAATCGGCCCATTGAAAGGTGAAAACGAACAAATCGACCTTGGCGGTGAACCCCCCAAACCAATGAAAGACTTCTTCGGCAAGGCCCTCATGCGCAAAGCAGAAGCCCAAGAACAACTCGAACGCTGGGAAGACGCCGCCAGAACATGGAAACTAGCAGTGGAAACAGGTCATGGCGGTGGCCAAAGTATTCAAGGCCGCAACCGCTGCGAGAAAGCTGCTGGAATCAGCAAGCCAACCTCCAAACCCTCAGCTCCCACGCGCAGACCTCCAGCATCTACACCAGCACCCAAGAAACCATCCGCTCTGGCCGACCTCACCGGCAGCGCCGCCGCATCTCAAAACTCCGAGGCAGTCACCCGCCTTCGCGAAGCAAATCAAGCCGCCGAACGCGCTGACGACGAGAAATTTGCCCTCACCGACTCCGTCGACGCACGGCTCGCCGCATGGAAGGGCGGGAAACAGGATAATCTCCGCGCTCTGCTGGGTAGTCTGGATACGGTGTTGTGGCCCGAGGCGGGATGGAAGAAAGTTAACATGTCGGAGTTAATTATGCCGAATAAGGTTAAGATTAATTATATGAAGGGGATTGGGAAGGTGCATCCTGATAAGGTATGCCCCCTTTGTTTGAATTATCTGTTTGATGAAGGGTGAAGCTAACGCGATTAGATTCCGACAAATGCTACTACTGAACAGCGGATGATTTCAGCTAGTGTTTTTGCGACGTTGAATGAGGCATGGGATAAGTTTAAGAGGGAGAATAACCTTTGATTAGTCTTTCTAAGTGCAGCTACTCGTCACTTGTGTTATTTGCGGTATTCAAACATGGTTTTGGCTCGATCGATGTTGTAAATAGATAGATTTGCATTCGCATGTGTGGAATGAATAATGGCTTGTCTTCTGTTGTTGATTTAGACTAGGATTATACATACACGTGCACCAAGACTCGAACTAGTTTACAAAACCAATTATAGACTAAACCATCCACTAGTATATAACGAAACCCAATGCAATCCATTACCCCTCCTTCTCTCCCTGTTCCCTCTGCTCCCTCGCCTCCCTCTTCAATTGCTTCTTGCTCTTCTGCACTCCCGCCTCACTATCAACCCTATACGACGGCCACTGCTCGCGACACTTCTTCTCATCATCCTCTGTCCAGTCGCGTGGAAGAACAGCGAAGAGGAGGTACGACGTGTGCATTTTGAGATCCTGTTCGGAGCGATGCACCAAACGACCCTGGCTGTATGCCGGGATGGAGGACTGTAACTGCGAGTGTAATTGTGCTTGTGCTTGTGCCTGCTGTGATTGCTGTTTTTGTGTTGTTGTCGATGATTGTTCAGCGGGATTGAGACCAGCAGCCTCCGCCTCCCGGAACTTCCTCGCCCGCTCATCAACAAACCGCATTTTAGAAATCGCCTCGTCAACTGATTTCGGGAACACAGTTGCGCCGCGAATCCCCTCGGACTCGAGACCGTAGCGTTCGCGTCGCGCTTCGATGCGGTGGTGGTTTACCTCGACCATTTCGATGTTCAGCCAGCCTTGTTGTCGGAGGACGCTGATTGTGCGCTGGACTTGTTCGAGGCAGGGTGAGAAGGTGCAGATATAGACTGGGGAGGCTGGGTCCAGGGGGGATTGCTTCCCGTCTTCTGGATTGCGGGTGAGATGTTTTAGGGCGAGCCAGGGGGCGGGGAGGTCGAGGAAGATGGCAGATGCTTTGGGGGATTCATTTTCGGTTTCGGGACCGCCCGGAAGGAGGAAGCCGTCTGCGTAGACGTCGCGGTGGTTGACGCGGACGATATCGTCGAGGCCGTGGTGGTGGATTTCCTCGCGGACGCGCTCGACTCGTTGCGCGTGGAACTCGAAGCTGCAGACTTTGCCGAAGCGGCGGCGTTTCTTTGTCGGTGGTGTGTTGTCTGCGGATGGGTAGCCGTTAAAGATTGCGCGTGCGGCTGCGTGGGTGAACGAGCCGCTGCCGGCTCCTGCTTCGATAATCGTGCCCCCAGGACGCACTCGGAGTCGGTGGAGGATGTAACTGTAGTCCGGTGTATAGACGACCTGCGTCCGATGTGGGAGCGACGCAGTCCACGTTTCCGGCGTGGGGTAGAGAAGATGACAGAATCCACTCGATGCCTGCACAGCAGCTTGTAACTGCGGCTGAGGCTGCGGTTTTGCCTGCTGTACTTCACCCTCACTGCTGGTATTGCTATTCGCATTCTCCTTCTCTAGATCCGCGGCTTTGCGCTTGAGATGGGTTTTGCGCCCGCGCGACCCTGTGTCTACCTTTGATGCAACAATCTGTGTGCCCCATGGTTGGTCGAGGAGGGTGCTGTGCGGGTACGAGCCGAAGCGTGTTGTCGTGACTTTGCCTTCTTTGTAGCCTAGGTTTTCGTCGTCGTGGATGCGCAGGATTGTCGGGAGGGCGTTGTCTCTGCGGAGGTGTAGGAGGGCAAGGGTATCCGGTTGCGCCCGAGTGCCGGGGGTTAGGAATGGAGAGGGCATTTTGTTGTCGCTCTATGGATATAGAGTGTTATCAGGGATGTGTACTCCGTAGTAGAGCAGGACCTTGAGAACTGGTAGGCAAGATAGCGCAGAAATCTTGAGCTTAGAATATCATGACCCGATACAGTAGGCGGTAGGGCATAGGGCATAGGGTATGCAGATATGCCAAGGCTGGCCAATCAGTCCGATCTTACTCCGTAGAGTCATCTACTGCAGCCCCTCCCCCTCGTTTCCCTTTGTTTTCCTGCCCTTCCTCCCCTTCTCTCTACTTTATGCCCCTTTCCTCTCCCCCAATCCGATCTACTCTCCTCTCTCTAACCTATCTGTTCAAATTGCGCCAGCAGCGATTGCCGTGTTATACTTCTTTGTTTTCCACCAGAACGACCAGATTCATGACCACCGCCGCGCGCCAGCAGCCGCCATGGCGGCAACCGCCCTCGCACCCCGAGGCCAGCTCGCATCTGCCCGCATTAAAGGTGTGGAACTCGCTGACCCGCACGAAGACGCCGTTTATCCCGCTCGACAAGGAGGGCAAGAAAGTGACCTGGTATGCGTGCGGGCCGACAGTGTACGATGATGCGCATTTGGGACATGCGAGAAACTATGTTAGCACGGATATTATTCGTCGGATTATGCGGGATTACTTCAAGTTTGATGTGAATTTTGTGATGAACATTACGGATGTCGATGATAAGGTATGTTGTGGTGTAGATGGGGGAGTTTGAGGGCAGAGTTTAGGTATTGACAAAGGTAGATTATTCTGCGGGCACGGCAACAGCACGTTTTTACCGAGTTTGTGTCATCGCATCCGAAGATCGATGGGGAGGTTTTGGATGTAGTCAAGACTGCGTACGCCGCGTACCTGAAGAAGAACCTTCCGTTGCTCGACCCCGAACTCCCCGTTTCTCAGTACCAGGACCAGGCGGAGAAGAACTATGCGGTCGTGTTGAATGGTGGACCATTGCCGGGTAATGAGAAGGCGGGTGACGATGAGGCCAAGGTGAAGATGCATATCAAGACTGCTGCATCAGCGGCCAAGGTTGTTGCACAGGCAGAGCGCTCGGAAAACGTTGCGGATCCCTCGTCTTTTGCGGAGACATTCTACACCGAATCTCAGGATCTTCTTCTTCCGTATCTTGATGCGCTCAAGGGTGCTTCGATTAACGCTGATGATCATGGGATATTCACCAAGTTGACTCGGAAGTACGAGGAGCGGTTCATGCAGGATATGAGAGATCTCAACGTGCTCGATCCTGACGAGCTGACTCGTGTCACTGAATATGGCTCGGAGATTGCCGACTTTGTTGAGAGGATTGTGAAGAACAAATTCGGATATGCTACGGAAGATGGATCGGTCTACTTCGATATTGATGCTTTTGAAAAAGCGGGTCACCCGTATGCTCGATTGGAGCCGTGGAGCCGCTCTGACAACAAGCTACTAGCGGAGGGAGAAGGCGCATTGACCAACAAGACTTCCGACAAGCGTTCCACCTCTGACTTTGCCCTCTGGAAGGCCTCCAAACCGGGTGAGCCTAGCTGGGCCAGTTCCTGGGGTAAGGGACGGCCGGGTTGGCACATTGAGTGCTCTGCCATGGCTTCTGCCAGACTTGGACAGCAAATGGATATCCACTCTGGTGGTATTGACTTGGCATTCCCTCACCACGACAATGAGCTTGCCCAGAGTGAGGCCTACTGGGCGCACGCTCACTCGCATGAGCAGTGGGTCAACTACTTCCTGCACATGGGTCACCTGTCTATCCAGGGATCGAAGATGTCCAAGTCGCTCAAGAACTTTACCACTGTTCGTGAGGCACTAGAGCGCAAGGAGTGGACGCCGCGGAGTCTGCGTATCGTCTTCCTGCTCGGTGGCTGGAGGGATGGTATTGAGATTACCGAGGACTTGATTAACACTGGAACTTCGTGGGAGGAGAAGGTCAACAACTTCTTCATTAAGATGAAGGATCCGTCGGCTTTGCAGGGATCCGGTACGGATACTTCTCTTGCCGCTGCGCTTGAGGCGGCCAAGGCCGCTGTCGACGAGCAGCTCTGTGACTCTTTCAACACTCCCGGGGCTATGAACGCGATCTCTGAACTTATCACTAAGTACAACAGTGCTGATAAGTCTACGCTCAATCCCAAGGATGTCGAGGGTGTCGCGCGATTCGTGACCTCGATCGTCAACATCCTTGGTCTCAATGGCACTGCCACTGCAGAAAGCACTGAGATTGGCTGGACTGGAATTGACGTTCCAGAGGAGGCCAAGCCCTACTTATACCCCCTTTCTTCTATCCGTGATTCGCTCCGACAAGCTGCCCGGTCCCAGGAGGGCGTTTCGTTCGGCCAGGTGTCGGAGATTGTGGACAAGGGTACCGTACCGGAGGAAACCTCTGAGGCGGCCAAGCCTTATGCCATCCTGCTTTCCAATTTCCGGAACAAAGTGACGTCCCTCGAGAAGTCCGATAGCCTTGGAAAGGATATCCTGTCCCTTTGCGATCGTGTCCGCGACATCGACCTGTTCGACGTGGGAATCTATCTCGAAGACCGTGACAACCAGCCAGCCCTTGTCCGCCCGGTTACTCGCGAATTGATCCAAGCTCGTCAAGAAAAGGCCGCCCGTGCGCAGCAGAAACTAATAGAAAAGGCAAACAAAGAGCGCGAAGCCCTCCAGCGCCTGGAAAAGGGTAAAATAAGCCACCTGGAAATGTTCCGAACCAACGAGTACAGCGCATGGGATGAAGAAGGCATGCCGACGCGCGACGCCGCAGGCGAGGACATCAACAAAAGCCGGACCAAGAAATTGCGCAAGGACTGGGAGAGACAGAAGAAGTTGCATGAGGCTTGGTTGGCGAGTCAGATGGGGCCTCAATAGATATATAGAGATGATTATGATGGGTTAGATGTTTGTATTCATGCATTGTTATGGCGTCTGGTATGGCCCTATATCCACTTTAGCGTTAATAAAAGTTGGCATGTGCTTCTATTCAGGTTTGAAGGTGTAGTTACCCTAACTTTTAGCGCAATCCGTGCCCCTGTAGATGAACCAGAATAGATGAATAAGATCCCCACACGCTCGAATTAGCCAATATTCTAGTTACCCTGCAGAAATAGGCTATATAGCCTAATTACATCACCTGACTGACACGACAACGTCCCACCATAATTTATACCACCCAACTTGAAATCATACCACCTCATCAATCCAACATCCAGAAGACCAATTCAAAGGAATCTAACCCTAGCAGAACGCAAAATGATTATCACTACGGGACTCGATTACCTCCGGACAAAGACTAAGGTTGATTGCGATACGTTCGATGAGCAGGGTATACATTATCCCTCTGGACATCCGGTTCTGCCCAGCTAACTGATAACACAATAGTCGCAAAAACCTACGGCCCCTTCATCGACTGCACATCTAACCAAGTAGGCTCCCCATCTCCTCGTAAGATAGATCAACGGAAGATATCTAATCAAGAAAAGGCCATCGCACACGGCGAATTATCCAAACCTGAAAACGCTGCCCTGAGAGCAGATTCCCTCCTCGAAGCAGGAAAACTTCTGGCTAGGTTTGAGGGCGTTGATGTTTATGAGTTAGGGGTTGAGATTGCAGTATGCCGCCCACATATACCCCCATATCTCTATTTGGACAGAGGCAGAAAAAGAAGGTGCTGACAAATTAGATGGTCAAACTAGCCCTCAAAATCCACCCACACATCACCGGCCACGTCCACATCCAGACCAATCCGTATTACTCATATTCAACAGAGAAAACCATTGTTAATGCCCTACGTACATCCTCCCTTCCAACAAAACCAGTCCTGAAGACTAACAAGCGAACAGGAATCGTACAGCTATTTCAATACTTTGAACCAGGATTCGAACAGAACCGCATCTGCATAAAAATCCCCGCGACATGGGAAGGCCTAGCAGCATGCCGCACCCTTGAAGCAGCAGGTGTGCATACACTAGCCACGACGCTGTTTAGTGTGGCTCAGGCTGTGCGCGCCGCGGAGGTGGGATGTACATACGTTGCGCCGTATGTTAATCAGTTGAGGGTGCATTTTGAGATTGGGTGATTCCCCTCTGATATTACTAAGAATAAGAAGGAAGGAACGCTAACATGGTGGGTTAGATTCACCGACCCCAACAAACTCCTCCCGTTGTGCGTGGAGATCCAAAAATACTACGAGTCCATCAACGCCAAAACACGCGTCCTACCCGCTAGTCTCACTTCTACATCAGAGATCTATGCTCTAGCGGGCGTGGACCATATTACTATTGCACCTGGGTTGTTGGCGCAGCTTGCGGAGGCTAATCCTACCCCCGAAGTGGAGTCGCTTTTTAACGTCGGCGCTGCTGCTGGGACTGGTGACGTGGGAAAGGAGGGTAAGGAGTCGCTTGTGAACGACGAGTCTGCGTATCGGATGTCGTTTACGAGGGATTTGCATGGGGCAAGTGAGGAGAAGTTGTCGCAGGTGAGTTGTATACTTATACCCGTTTATAGGTAAGGTGTGGCTGACGTGGTGTAGGCGATCAACTTGTTCTGCGATATGCAGGATAAGATGGTTCAGAGTATGAAGCACGGATCTACAGAGTGAATATGTTGATCTACTGCTGTACTGCTGTATGACTCCCGAGATAACGGATGCACTTGATTCATTCATATCTATCCTATCTATTTGCACTGCGCTGTGTAAATCAAACTAGCCTGACCCATCTGCCGCCGGAAACATACATGAAGACATCATTTATCCATACCATCATTCATCATATCGATCCCCAAGCGAGTACCCATCCACGCCATCAAGACAGTAATCCCAATCCCACCGCACCCCGGACAAGCATACGAAGCCAACTCATCTGCATTTCTTTTCTTCTTTTTTGCTTTTCTCCGAGCTGAAACACGCTGAACGCCAGCTATGCAAGTAGATCAATCGTAAGGATATATACTTTTCCACCAATTGCTTTGTTTTGCTTTTTTTCTCAACTCATCTCAACTCATCTCAACATGACACGGCACGTTGCCATGTAGCGGGATATCCATCAACATCAACATCAACATCGATCGGACAATAGAAAGGCAATGAAGAGTAAAGCGAAGCATAGGAATCAAGAGATCAGTTCACAACCAAACCGTGGGGGAATCTAAACCAAACGATGAAAAGAAAAACGGTTGGCAGGAAACAACATAAAAAACACATAATTTCAAACAAGTCGTATCGTATCAAGTAATGTAAGTAACCAGTCATGCGCTCAATCGTTGAATAAAAGACGGGAAAAACTGCCGGAAACCCTTAACATCCAACCCCCCCAAAGCACCCACAAACTCCTGTATAAGATCCGCGCCCATGCCCATGCTGGGCAATTCCTGGTTCCGCAGATACTCGAGATACTCCGTGCCCGTCTTGGCGTAGATAATCCGCTGCAGGCCTCCCGCTTCGGCGAGGACTTGTCTTGCCTGTGCGTCTTTGGAGTTGAAGGATGGTGTGGCCGGGAGGGCCCAGCAGAGTGGGGAGAAGCGGCTGATCATGAATTGGCCGAAGCCGGGGAGGGTTACACCTTGAGGGGATGCTCCGTTTGAGGCGTCGGGGGCGAGATCTGGGCCGCCCCAGGAGCTGCCCATCTTCGAGAGAAGGGAGAAGGCCATTTTGGCTGTGGTGAAGTCTTCGACGTCTTTGGCGAAGTGTTCGATGGTAGTGATGAGGGTTTCGAAGATGGGTTGGTTTCCTGAACGTGTCAGCTGCGCAAGTAAATAAGTGTAAGGAAAAAAGACATACGCTCGCTAATGATAACAGCCCCAAGATCATTATTCAGCACAGCAAGTAAAAAGTTCAAATACTCCCTCTTCAACTCTGCTAACTGAATCTCATCATCCGTCCCGCTGGTAGGATTGGCAATACCCGCAAAAACCGTTTGCAAGAAAGGCGTCAAAAGCGTATCCAGAATAGGGAAAGTCTCTCCTTTGAAGCCGAAAATCACCTGGTCCAAAAGACGCAGGAAAAGAGCCATCTCATCTCTCGACGAAGTCTGCGTAAGAAGACCGTCAATCCACCGCGGCAGCTGTGGGAGAATCCGCGAACCAAGTACACCGATGAGCCTGGAAAAGGCGAATCGGGCGGCTGTCCGGATGTTGAAAGAGGCTTTCAAAGACTCCAATGCAACGAGAGTGACTTCAGACACCTGGCCAAATGCTTCAGAGATCTCAGGAGGCGGAAGTGATGAAGGAGAGTGGGTACCTGGCACCCAGTCCGAGAATCCCCTAGCGAGGGTTCCGAGGGCCATGATGTCGTGGTGGATTTGGAAAAGAGCTCGCTCATCGCTGGCTTTGGCAGCTTCGAGATTCCTCTCCATGTCAAGGAAGATAGGGTTCGAAACCGACTGAGCGAAGAGAACTTGCTTGTCAACAGAAATCGCCGGGGTCGAGCAGATAATTCCAACAGCTTCAAACAGGTAGAGTTGGCTGTTGAAGATGGCATCTGCGAAATCATGATCATCAGACGACATCTCGTCGCCCTCTCCTCCCTCAGAAGGCAATTCAGCCTGGATGACCAAAAGATCGGCCAGAGCCTCGACAACCGTCTGCGCAACATTACCAATGTTCGACCGCAACTGCTTCACCAAGCGTTGGAACAAGTACCACGACCGAGTCTTGACCTTCTTGACGGGATGGTGGGCCAATTGAAGGAAAGCTTCCAGAACCCCAGGAACAAAGTGCGTGTGGTATTGAAAGAACGAGCTATAGCGCACACAGATCTCCATATACTGCAGCTGAGTAGCCGGGTGCGTGAAAAATCTAATGTCCGACTCAACCATCCGAGCCATCATCTCCACCAACCTCTCCGCAGCAGCGTTGTTCGGCTGGTTCTTGGTGTAAAGACCACCGGCCCTGACAGCAATGTCACCAAACAGGAACATCTCGTGCAAGGCAAGGTCCAAGTCCCTCCAATCCATCTGCCCACCCGACTGCCGCAGATTCTCAAAGGTCGTTCCAACCAACTCCGAAATAGCCTCCATGTACAGCTGCTCGTTAACGGACGCAATGATCTGCTGCAGATTAGCCAGTCGCTTGCGAAGTTCCTGGAATTCGGCCTCGTCGGTTTGTTCGTCCTCCTCGCCCCATGTCGAGGTTTCGTCGTAGCGCATCTTGGCGATGATGGCCTTCAAGATCGGGAGAAGGATGGCGGATTGCTGAGCAGCCAAGGTGGGGTTGACCTTGGCGATCTTTCGGAAGTAGGAGAGGAGATCGTTGACACCAGGAATAACCGTCGAGCAAACTTCGTCGTATTCGTCGGAGAAGAATCGGAGGATGTGCGGCAGGAACACTTGCAACAGACCGTTTGCCTTTTCCTTGCACTCTGCCGTGACCCCATCCTGTTCCAAAGCCCGCACAATATCGGCGGTTGTGATATTGACAAGCTTCGCAACGGTTTCCGCCAGATCGGTATCGTACTTGAAGGTGAATCGGTTCTCGTAGAGCGGCGGGCTGTTCGACAATTGAGACACGATGGTATCGAGGTTTAGGAAAGCAATCATTTCAATCTTGTCCTCCGGCTTCATCTTCTTACCGATGATCTCCGTAAAGACATCGATCGCAGCATCCCGTACCTTTTCTTCTCCAGCTCTGAGTTCCGCCCTTTGTGCCCGCGTGAGTTGCTGGAACAGAAGATCCATCATAGTCTGATTAATCACGAGGCCAATATCGATCCAGCTAACCCAGCTACCCACGGCCCTCAAAGCCATCTCCACAATCATATCACTCCCGTCCCGCCACTCAGACAAGATCTCCTGCCAGGAACTGGCAATCTTCTGCATATCCCTCTGCCGGATCAAATCCTTGAGCGCATTGGCCTTATCCTGCTCCCCGCGGGACCGAGAAACCAACACATCACCAATCTCGTCGTGGATCGAGTTGACGACTCGGAGGTAGAAGACGATACCGGACGGGTTATCGCGTGCGGAGCTAGACGAGGATTTGTACGTCAAGGAAAGAAAATCATCGAAGAAGCTCTCCCAGCCATTGGAGTAGAGAGCAGAGAAGAGAAAGGTAAGGGTCTGAGCGACTTTATTCTGAATGTTCGGCGGGTCACCAGCTGCACCGTCTTGTCCGTACACCTGGCGGAGATATGCCATCAAGCCATCCCGGACATAACCCAGAGCCTGAATATCGATGACGCCTGCTTGGGCGGCACTATTGACGACTTCCAGCGCAAAATGCCGTACGATCTCCGAGTGTTGGGGGGTCTTGGTGAAGAGGGCGAGGCAGACCTGCCATCCTGAGGGGTCGGAGCGGAGTTGGTTCAGATAATCGAAGGCTTGTGCTTTGAGGGCTTGGTCTGAGGAAGGGTTCCAGGCGATCTCAATGGCATTTGCTACCTACAGCGTACTTAGTTAGCAACGCAATTGATGCGTATAAAAAAGAGAGCATCGGAGGGGCACGAGAAGATCATGGTGGGGTGTTCAAAAAGATAACAAGTTTTTGTCCACCAGACCGTACAAAATATAAAGGGCGACTCACCTGCTCTTCCATCTTCGACCAGCCGGACTACCTAAAAGTCGGGGACAGACTTAAAGGCACAACAAGAAATATTTTGTGGAGGAGGGAGGAGGAGGGAGAGGGAGAGAGGGGGAGAGAGGGAGAGCGAGGTAAGGACTGCAAGCGAGGGACGGAGCGGAGGGGAGGCGGGAAAGGTCGATAGAAGCGAATACGTATGTCGATAGAGATATATAGGAGTAGTATGTAGTTAAAATTGGCGTAGTGTGGAGGATGTTAAAGTGGTTAGAAAAAATCGTCACGGTGGAGGCTCATCGAGTAGTGCATGGGACCGTTTCTGAATTTTTTTTTTTATTGCTGGTGGACCGCGAGTCAGACCCAGTCTTCGGTAAAATGGTTGTACTCACCGATACTGTTGTTCTGTGTGGTTTATATGGATCGTACAGAAAAGAAGAACAGATGCTTGAAATATGACTCTTCTGTCGTTATAGTTGTTGTGCGGCTGTATTTGCGATGACGAAGGCGTGCTTGTAGAGGCCGAAAACTTTTGTGGGCATGACTGACAGCGACCGAATCGGGCAACCGGCGACGTGACTATACGACCACTACATACAGGTTGGTACTATGACTCAATTTAGTCTGGGGTAATAAAATCAAATTTGCTTTTATATCCAATCTAAGTCTATACATAACACTATTCTGTATTCTACTGCTTCTGCCCCAACACAGCCCTCTCCATCTTCTCAAACCCTTCCACAGCCAACCCATATCTCTCAAACACCTCCGGCTGATATCCATCCGCGATCTTCTCAATAAACTCCTCCTCCCTCCACCGCTGCCCAATCAGCCCCTCAAATGTCTGCCCAGGCTCCCTCTCCAAACCCCAAACAGCCTTATACGCCGCTCCCAGCGCACACGCATTATCACCCACATCCAGCTTATACACTCCGTCGATACCGCCGAGGACTTCACCAGCAACCTTGGCGATGGCGCGGTTCTTCGAGCCGCCGCCTACGAGGTACACGCGGCGGGGTTGTGCGGGGATGCCCACGCTAGGGCTTTCGGTTAGGCCGCGGGAGCGCAGGCGGAGGGAGAGAAGTTGGCTTTCGACGATGGCGCGGGCTTCGTCGGTGGGGTGGTCCCAGCCGTCCTCTGTTTCTGTGAGGGTATTGGTGGAGGGGCTGTAGGTGAAGCGCCACTGGCCGGCGGGGAGGTTGGGGACGATTTCTGGTCTGGGGAAGAAGAGGCCGAGTTTCATGGGGTCTGAGTCAAGTTTCTGGCCCATGGGGGGTGTTGCCAGTGTGGTCTTGTCGAAGTTCGCCCATGGTCCGCCTGGTGCTGAGGAGGAGGGGTTGCCTTGTTTCTCGTTGATGGCGTTGCGGACGTATTCTCGCGCCAGGCCGCCGTTCTTGTAGCACAGCATGAACATGTAGAGACCCGGGGTTGTGGGGTGGTTGAAGAAGTGTGTCGCAGGGTCTGGCTTGTAGCTGGGGGTGGACATGAGGAAGGTTGTCGACGTTCCCAGGGACACCATTGCGTCTGAGGGTCGCAGTGGCAAGGCCAGGATGGTGGCCGGGTTGTCACCGGTTGAGGGAATCACTGCACAGTCGGGGCTGAAGCCATATCGGTCGACATAGTACCGGTCAATCATGCCCAGATGGAAACCACCGTCCTCTGGAACGGGGCCTAGCTTTCGCTTCAGATCCTCGGGGCCAAACGAGCCTGCACACAGCTTCAGAAGTTCCTCATGGTACTCCCCCTTCTTGATATCCCATAGGTTCATTCCACAAACATCCGAGATATCAAAGGGCGCAATACGGCCCAGAAGCAACGAAGCCAGGAAAGAAGAAACAAGAGAAATCCTCTCCGTCTTCTCATAAACATCAGGGTGCTTCCTCTGAAACCGCATGATCTGAGGACCCGTAAACCTCTACAAACATAGTCAGCAACAATCCCCACAGGCAACAGCACGAACACCTACATGATGCGCCTTACTCCCCGTAACCCGCGCCAATTCCTCCCTACTCCCTAAAACCCCATCAAACTCGTCGCATTCCCTCTGTGTGCTCGAATCCTGCCAATTCGGACTGAACGGGTGCGAAAAAGCCCCACTTAACTGCTCCTCCAATCCCCTCCCCGCATCCAACCCCTGCAACATCTTCTCCGCCTCCCGCCCCCAATAAACACTCCCATGTTGCTGCCCCGCCCCCGAAATCCCCTTAACGCGACTGAAATCGAGGCCCTGGGATTTAAGGCCTTCGAGGACACCGTCGAGAGCTTGTAGCCAGAGAGCGACGGGGGCAAAGACCTCGTGCTCGGCCTCGTTGAATTGCACGCCTTTCTTGATGGGGAAGCCGTGGGAGTCGGCGTCGAAGTCGAAGATGGAGGTGTGGATGACTTTTAGGGAAGAGTTCACGACGAGGGCCTTGAGTTGTTGTGTTGAGAGGTCGAAGCCAATGTATAATGGGGTTGGGGTCGACATTGTGGGGTAGTATGGTGGTGGTATGGTGTCGGAATGAGTGACAGTGAGAGAAAGTAAGAAAGTAAGAAATTGGTAGAAATTGGTCTTTTTATACTGGCGAATATGTCGGGTCTATTTGAGTTTGTTGTGTGGTTGGGAGTGAAATTATCCTTCGGCGCCTTCTTATGCTGTGAACGGCGGATGATGTCAACGGCCAAGCTCGCCTCCGGGAAATTTACCGGTTAATTGGAATTAACCATCGCCATACATGGACGAACATGCTTGGGATGCTTGACTAAAGGCTATTTAGACTGCATTGATACATCTTCATGTTTGAATTGCATAGTCAAGGACAAACAATCTATTCCATTGCACAATATCTAACCAAGATTGCTCTAATCCAACAACAGAATACAGAATTTTGTTTGTACCCTTCCATGCTCCATCCTGCTCATCTCCATCCAGGGTATCTTGTAATGGTTTATGCCATATGCCAAAATGACAATGTCTGCTCCTCCCAATGATAATAAATATTTAGAATGAAATCAAAGCCTAAACAGTTCAACGCCTCTTAGAATCCTCCTGGCCATGGTTATGCTCGTCATCGTGGTCATGGTCATGCTCGTGGTCGTCACCAGCCTCCGGGTTAGCTCGTGCGCTGGTCTCAGGAGTAATAAACTCCTCTGTAAAGTTCGCTTCCACGTGCTCTGAAGGCACGAAGCGGACCTTGAGACGCTTGACGCCATTGACACCCGCTCCAACTGCCTCCCGAACCGTGCTCTCGACCTCCCGAGACTGCTTAACGGACCACGACCCAGGCACGCCCAATTCAATCTCCATGAGGTAGTTCTGACCGGACTTCATACCCTGCACGTCACGGACCTCAATGGCCTTGTCCTGGATCTGAGCGAGAGCCTTCTTGGCCGCCTTGCGAACCGATCCCTTGATATCATCGTCCACGGTTGTATCGGCCAATTCCAGCAATGAAGTCCGGGTGTTGCCCCATCCTGCCTTGATCACCATCAGAGAGATCAACAGGCCACCTACAGGATCCAGCCAGGAGGCGTCCTTAAACACGTACGTACCGCCAATGGTGAACAGGGCCACGATACTGGTGAGGGAATCGATGCGGTGGTGAACGGCGTTCGATGCGAGGACGGACGACTTGCGTTCTTCGGCGATTTTCATAGCTATAAAGTAGAAACTCCGATTAGCCAGGTTTCACGATCCCAATTCAGGGGCACTCACTAGCACGATAGAGCCATTCCTTGATCACAATAGAACCACCCGCTAACCAAGCAGCATGAACACTAGGCCCCGACACATCAATCCCATGACTATGCGAATGCCCATGTCCCAACATCCCCGAGTGCGCCAGCGCATCCGCAGCGTCAGGATAAAACTGATCCAACAACACCTGCCCAGCATTCAATCCCATAAACACACCACCACAAAGCAGCAGCCCACTAACACCCAGCGCACCAATACTCTCGATTTTCCCGTATCCGTTCGGAAATCGTTCAGAGGGCGGTTTCAGCGACCACGCGACCGTCCCGAGGGTAAGGAAGTCGGAAACTAGATCCGTGAGCGCGTGGTAGGCGTCTGCGATCAGGGCCTGGGAATGGAAGACGTAGCCGCCGATGAACTTGCCAATTGCCATGGCGAGGTTGGCGACGAGGCCAATGCGTGTGATGCGGACGCCGGCGTCGAAGGTGTTGGTGGAGGTTAGGTAGACGTTGTCGTGGTGGTGGTGATGATGGCTGTGGCCGCCGTGGCTGCCATGGCCTCTTGTTTGTGTTGCCATGAGGGGAGTAGTTTTTGTTATACGGAGAGGAAGGGTAGGTGTGGGAGTGGTTGTTGTAGGAGTGGTTGTTGTTAACGGAGTTGGACGGACAGGGAGGCGGGCATTGGACGGAGGGTATTTAAGACGTAATGAGGCAGTTGAAGTCCGCAGAACACGGCGCTGAGCTGACGCACGAGCACCCGGAGAAACCAAGCCAGATCGATCTCGAAACGAGAGAGACAGCAGTAATAACGGAGACGAACACGACGCTGGTGACGACGGCGAGCACGCTGGAGTATGGGAGGCCGACTGAGGACGGACCCTGCACCGCAGGGGCTGCGTCAGCGCCATTGAGACTAGTTCTTCAGAGACAGTAATGGATGCTTCACAATTGGTAGAGGGTTTCGTATTTCATATTATCTTCTAGTGGTAATTGTGTAGTTTATGGTTTGAAGAAGTTGCTGTTATATCCGGCAGGCGACTTCCGAGATGTGCTGACTGTCGCTGACTGATGCCATGATTCCATACAACTTCTACTACTACGAAATATGATCGTGGCAATCACAGTATTGCAATTACACACTCTCTAACCAATTCACCAACGATATCGCCTTGATTACCGTTCGTTTGTCTTGTGGCTTCTTTACCAGTGGCAATGCTCCCCCACGATTGAGGATTAGCCGGTCTCAGCCAAGAAAAGCAACACTAAACAAAATCTGCGGATGGCGCGTCAATTACGGGTCTGTTCGGTTTTGATTAATCCAGGCCCAAGAAAAATCTACTTTTTTATACAGGGGGTCCGTTAAGGCTGGATCTCGGAACTTTTGAATTTTTCCGTATCTTCCGTGTTCCGTTCCGTTCGGTTTTTCTTGTAGATCCACTGAGCCGGGGTACTGTAACCATTCATGCTAGGGCATATGCTATTTATGTATCCTTGTTCATATGCTAACTGAGTCCTGCCCACAATATATTCGTTTTGCTTAGCGTGGCTCTTAACATCAGTGTCATGGCCTCGATGCAAGAACAGGGAACGCCTAACACTGCGTTGTAGGTATAACAAGCGCCTGGAGACCATCGATGTCTGGGACATGTCCTTGCAACCAAGGATTGAGTATAGCAATCGTGATAATAACCATAGAGGCATAAATACTAAGCCATGGTCATTCATTTCAAGGGCAATGGGGGAAGCACCCATGAATGGATCACAATCTCCGTCGAGGCCTTCAAGGAGGAGCTCACTGCTCTGTGGATGGTTCCATCATCTTGACTATCAGAGGCACACGCGACGTAGTTTGCTTGCAGCAGGTACTCATGGCCTTCTGCGTACATTGCGTGGTGGACACGGTTAAGGAGTCGGCGCGCAGAGAAGCATTGGGCGGGCTCCCACTTAATGGAAGGTTTAGCTTGTCGACAAGATTCTCCACGCCACTTCGCGGTAGGTGACTTCCTGCGACAAGGTTACTATGCTTGGCAGCACTGTATACAACAATAATCGAACGGTACACTCACCATTCAAGACCAAAACTTGCCCAGTATAGCCTGATGAATGGCTGAGATCGTGCCTCACCATTTTCTGGCGACGGTTTGAACTGAGTCACATGGTTACCATATGCCCTCATATCACGCGAGCAAGCAGACTTACTTTATCTACAGACGCTGGAAACCGGTCGACGCCATGTGACGAGTTTCTAGGCGTCCAATGGTTGACCAAGATGGTTATAATACAAAGCTACGAGGCAAAGATACCGTGGAAGGACAACCATGGTGATTGAGGTTCTTAGGTAGGTCTCAACAAGGATAGTCAATGCTGGCAAGAAATAGGTACTCCGTGGTGACCAGTCTGCATCATGTACTTCAGGACGTGGTGCACCTGCAACTTCTGCCAAGGCCAGCATCAATAGGAGCAAAGCAGATTCCAAGGATGGCTCTAAAGGGGTTTGAGTGAGGGAGTGATACTGTGTGGCATACTCGTCATAGTCAATGATTGGATGCTGCATATTAACCGATTGAAAGTTCTCCAACCACCGACTGCAGCAGGTCCAACCGCTTCCCCACGACCGATAACGAGGTCTCTAGATCAGATCTGGAGCAAAAAATTAGTACATAAAGCTTTAGCAAATGTTTTTTTATGGCGCTACTACCTGCGCTGTTCCACGTCAATGTAGCGACACTCCACATTGACCGCCTCGCAGTTGGAGCACACCGGCCTTCACCCATCGCAGCGTCATTTTCTAGGGTTTGAGTGACTAGTCGGAAGAAGTACACCTGTGCAGTATGCTGGTGAATGGAATTTACCGCTGGCGGCAAAATTTGCATGCGATAACGGCCCTCTGGCGAGGCGTATGCTCTATTTCACCCGATGGCATTCTTGCTTGTTATGTTTATTTGAGCACTGGCGGATTAATGCCGCCATTCTGAATGACTTACGTGCAAGCATATTGATTTCTCGAACTGATAAATTCATTAATTTATCCAGACATAGTTGTGGTTGCTTTCATGATTGCCAATTTCAAAACTCGCTAGGGACCTATATAACCGACCTAGGTAGTGAAGCGGAGTCCGCCATTAGCGCACATCACACTACCCATACACCAGGCTGAGTCCTCCGTGCACAGCATTCCAACAACACCTGCAACTTCGGTCCAATAGGCCGGATGCCGACCACCCATCTTCTCCTTCGCAAGCTCCACCAGCGAGTGGCCATCAGCACCCTTCCTCAGAGAGGACAAGGGACAATTCAACTGGAGAGGCTGCATCTATTTCCAGAACTTTTCCCGCAGCAAACTACATATCTCCCTCCACAGAACTAACCGTGGCCCTCTCCGCCAGCTCACGGCCAAAGTTTGCGTCATCGATTCTAGGGCTGCCTTGGTGCCCCGGTAAAGAGTATGGGTTGTAAAGCCCATGGACGAGGCCACTGATGAGATGTTGACCATATGACCGGAGCAATCATGGGGTAGGTAGGGGAGCACAGCTTGCGTGACCATGATGGGCGCGAGAACATTCACCGCATACACCTAGTGGAACTCCTCGACGGGGACCTTCTCCAGCGGGTAATACCCACCCACGCTGGCGTTGTTGATGAAAATGTTAACCAGAAGCTGGCCATCCTTGCTGCAGTGTCGGGCTGGCCAAGGTTGGCTTTGACGGTATGGGCCTGGACGCCGTGATGCGTGGTGAGTTCCGAGCACAGGTCTGCAGTGAGTTTCAAGGATTCCGAGATGTATTCGAGAAGGCTTTCATATTCTCATTTCATACGGAGAGGTGGTGTTCATCATGAAGCGGGTTTGCTCGGTTCCAGCTTTGCAGCCCATAATTCTTGTTGAAGGCGGCCTGCAGACGTATTCATCGCGCTGAAAAACGACTCCGCAGTTGTACGTCGGAAAGCGGCCCGCCGAATGGAACCCTACAGACCATGAACAGAAATACGAATCCATGTAAAGGGCGGGTCGCCCAGCTGCCAGGTGATATAATAGCCCACTTATCTTGTTGGGGTGAGGCGATACACCTCGGGATTTACAAATATGAGGTCCCTTCTTGCTATTGATTTCTTTAATCTACCAAGTCAGCCATAGAATTCATACCATGAGCAATACAAGCGATTGCAACGTTCACGGCCCAGAATTCCGTGAGGCAAAGCCCTCACAGGGTCATCCGGCACGACCTGCATCGAAGCTCTTTCGTCTCGACAATCGCACCACGATCAGTAATAATACCACCCGAACTTTTTTGCAACCATGCTGACCACAAACCCATCCGGTCGCCGGCGCAACAGGTTCCTTGGGCACAACACTGGCAATTGCCATTCTCGAGAGTGGTGCTGATATAGTTTGCCTGGATATTCCCCCCACTCCTACCGCTGCAAATTGGAGTCAGTCTTTCTCCATTTTCTCCTATATTCTCATCAAACTGACTACCTAACCCAAATCACAGACAAAGTCGAAGCTACCGCGACGAACCATGCAGGCCAACTATTCTACTATTCTCTTGACATAACAGATGAAAATGCTGTAGCTGAGACTTTTGCCACGTTTGGCCCTACACTGCGATACCCCCTAAAGGGTCTGGTTTCTTGCGCGGGACTGTCGCTGAATGGAACGTCGACCGATTTCCCTGCTGCGTCGTTCTGCCGGATGCTAGATATAAACGTCACGGGAACATTCCTGGTCGCGCAGGCCACGGCTCGGGAGATGGCGAAGACTAGATCCACTGGAAGCATGGTCTTGGTGGCGAGTATGAGTGGATACGTATCGAACAAGGTACCACATACCCGACCCTGACTACCTCATCTTACATTCATTAACACATAAACCAGGGCGTCGACACCGCCGGCTGCAACGCCCCCAAGGCAGCCATTTACCAACTGACGTGCTCCCTAGCCGCCGAATGGGGATCCCGTGTTGGAATACCACTGATCCGAGTCAACTCCCTCTCACCCGGATACATTCGCACCGCAGCCACAGCTGAAGCGCTTCAGAAGCCTGGGATGGAGAGTCAGTGAGTTGGGGATAATATGTTGTTCCGGCTAAGCACGGTGGATGAGTTTCGGGTGCCAGTGTTGTTTATGTTGAGCGATGGGAGTAGCTTTATGACCGGTGCTGATTTGCGGGTGGATGAAGGGCATTGCTCTTGGTAGGAGTCTATTTATGCTAGTTGAAGGAGATTTGGGATCTCATCAGGTTGTCTGTTCTATGTGATTGTACTCTTTGAGTTGGTCGATAGGTAGAAATAACGACGCTACAAGAACTGCCATCCGCTGATGTGAATGTTCTTGTCAAATATCATTGTACTCATGCCCTCGTGACAGAACTCCGAATTCACACATCGTTTGAGTAATTTCCTGTTACAGACAATGCTTGGTGAATCCGCAGTTGGCTGGTTGACCTATCTGGGATGGCCGCTTGCATTGGCTGATTTCGAGGCGCTCAGGGGCGTGAGTTAGGCCACCGAATTTGCGCAGCGCCATTACGTTCTGTTGTAGAGATCCAAAAAGCTGCCCTAGGGCTTCGTTTGCAGCCTGGCCGGCAGATTGTAATGGTTACCGTAGTTCGCCCTGGTTTAAACAACAACGCAAACAGTACAGCCTATCCCATAAAATCTACTTTCTAGGTCCAAGATCCCTCGCACATTTCAGTATGGATCGCTAGACTTCCTATAATGGACCCCTCATGTTGTCTTCATTTCCTGACCTAAAGCCTCAGTTTGATACTACCCCATTTCTTCGCTCTTCTCTGCTCGGCAATCTCTTTCTTCATTTCCATCTGGTACTATGAATTATTCCCTACCCCGAACCCTCTCATTTTTAACGTCTTTTTCCATATTTACTCTCTGCCTGCCCGTGGTCGTACTTTCCCACTAAAAAAACGACGCGTCCCAACACGCTGATCGTGGAGATGATCTCTCCATGAACAATGATCCAAAGTATTTTTTTTTTTTCAGACCAAACATCTGCGCTCGGAGCGATTAGGAAACCCAAGGCGGAGAATATCACTTGTTTCTCCAGCGAAGGTATGTACGAATTTCACTACACGCTCTCATAATCAAGGGACCTTTTTAACTGCTATGTGTGTTTAGGTACCTCCCGCGAGCTCGAAAGTGACCATAATAAAGCGAGCAGCCTTGATATAGGCCTTGAAGGGTTACCTAAACTATATAAATTTTGATTTTGGGCGCAGAATGACGAAGTACTGAGTCGTAAATCGGCCTCCCCTCCATGTATGGATGATGGCTTGTATTATGAAAACTTCAACTCTGAGCTCGCTGGAGCAGATATGCGCCTATGCGAAGTTACAGATTCCCAAGTCGATAAAGCTAAAGGGAGAAAAAAGAGAGAAAAAGTCTCCTTAAACCCCCCCCCCCCAACCAAAACATCAACTCAACTCACTTTCGCTTTCAGCAAAGGATCCCTTGAGCGGAAAAACGTCTTCGGGATGGTAGTAATGAAAGATAGCCTGCACAACAGACATTGGAATTGTATAAAACACATTTAGAAACATCCCATGACTCATCAAATAACCATTGTTGTCCTGGCAGAACTCAACGATGCGATACAGACACCGAATGATGATCAGCGCTGACACCATGAAGAGCACGTACAGGAGAACCCCGTACGGCATGTGAAGTGTACGGACTCCCTTGGATTTCTCAACCCGCTGATAAGAAATAATTGATACAGTGGAGAATACACCGAAGAAGATCAATTGGACGAACAAGCCAATGATCGTTATATTCTGGCCCATTTTGCCATCGACGAGATAGCCATCATTCCGCCTCCGCTGGCCTGAAGAAGGAATGCAAAGACATCCCTGAGGACTAATATCTTGGTCACTTTTGCGGGCGATATGATGAACAACTCGGGTGATTGGGTGTAGAGTACAATCCGTCCGTATATCATATAGATGGTGGCGGCGTAGAGAGAAGGTGGCAGGAGAAGACAGATATTCTGGACAATGTAGGGCCCCAGAGCGGTTGTGTCTTGAGAGGATACGGCACGGAAGATGTAGCCCACTATCATCACTGATTGTTTGAATAGTTGTGAGCGGTGAAGCAGTTGTGATGGGATTGATGCTTTAACCATAGAACTTACTGACTGCCCCGATAATAAAGGTTGTGAAGAAATAGCATTTGAACTTCCATAGCTGAAAGACATGAAAACCAGTACTTGCACCGTAGATATGAGGGCGATAACCGCACCTACTAAGGTGGGACCATAATCATAGAATGACCAAGCCATCTTATATAGAGAAGTGTTACCACATTGACTGTAGGAAGAACAGGCAAGTTTAACTTCTGTAAGAGGGTCAATGGAAAAGAAATAGACAGGCCCAGCATTTATATAGCTTGGACGGTGGCGCCGAAGCTATTTCAAGCGCCCAATTATTATATTTGGCGCTGCTAAAATTTCTGGCTAGTACTAGTGTAGCTCTACCCCAAGAGAACTCTCAGACGGCGGAAAGGGCCCGAAGAGACAATTAATGGGGACTGGAAGCACTGGAAGAGGCGACTAGAACAGGAGAAGGATAGCAGAGAGGGTAGCCTAAGCTGAATCACCAGCTTAGGCCACACCCACCCTGCTCTGAAACACAAGGAGAACACCGTGCTCGAAAGCCCTGCGCATACAGGCGGTTTGGGGCGAGGAAAAGAACCAGAAATATTATAGAAGGAGGCTAGTGCCTCAGGAGCTTATAGGGATAAGAGACTGTAGAATAGCTACCAGCCTCAAGTCCACGAATAAGGGTCTATCATATCTCTAGGGCTCGATATGGACAATAAACTTGAAAAAAAAAAAAAATAATAATAATAATAATAATAATATTGCACTATGTAAGAAGCAAGTCCCCGCAAATAAGGTATACTCATGCAAATATATGCTGAAGGAAAGTAAAATGAGGTAGTAGACGCTATGCATTAAAATATTATTCTATACGAAGGAAATCCTCTGAAAATCGAGGGCACCTCCACTATCTTCCCCGAATGTCTCTCCAAACGATTAGTCCATGGAGTTATATCTCCGATAAGGGTGTATTTCACCATCGTTTCTGATCACATATAGTGCCCAGTCACACGATAGATTTGCTCATATTCACTAGCAATTTTATTGCAATAGAATATAGGGATAGGAAGTTGTTATGTCAGAGAAGGTGCGAGTAATTTCTTTGAACAACCGACGTCATTATCCAGAACCCTTCATAGGGAGCTCTAGACATCCTGCTTCTAGGATCAGACATGACCAATCTTGCGAGTCTCATCAATGAGATGGACTAAAAGCTGATGATGTCTCATGTGTAAGCTAGCAGTACCGTTTCACCATATGTCGATTCAAAAACAAGCAAACAAGCCCGCATCAATAGACCCGGGTTGAAGAGCACTACAGTCTTGACTTGACATATCCATTGCAAAATAGACACCTCACTCTGGAAAGAAAAGTATTATATTCCTAGAAAAACCCAGACAGCATCTATTTCTTCGCATTTGATTGTTTGGCCCTCTCCACAGTTGCCCTCATTGCTTCACCAACTATATCCGAAACTGTGGCAGGAGGGTGCTTTGCCGGTGCGCCCTCTTGCTGAAATTCGGACAAGCATTTGCAGATATAATTAGGATTTCCCGTGAAGAAAAAGGGGATTGAGTAGCGCTCTAGCCCAGTCTCATTGGTGACCCTATGGAGGGCAGACTTGTAAGTTTCGTTGGTCATTCGCGAGAAGAGGTTGGCCAGGTTAACAACATATGCCCCGGGCGTGGGCTTGATCTGTAAGAGTTGTGATGAATGAATGTTAAGCAGACAAACAATGGGAAAGAGAGAGACGTACATCTAACCATTGACCTGTGGGCTCATCTAATACCTGAAGACCTCCAACCTCGTCTTGCAGCAGAATGGTAATTCCACTGTAGTCCCGATGAGCACCACAGCCCCGCGCATTGTCATATGTTTTCGGAGGTTGGGGAGGATAATGGAGATATCGCAATGTTGCGACTGCCTCATCTGTATAGGGGGCAAACAAGCCCTCGTCGCCATTTATCGTGAGAGCAAGTACAGCGATGATATCCTTTGCCAGCTGGAATACAGCATCATAGTATTCCATTGTAGTGCACTTGAACTCCTCCAAGCCATCAAGCGCTTCAGGCCACAGATTGGGCCCACAGTTGAACCTCTTTTCGACACAGTATGGATGATGCACAGGGAGATCTTGGCCAATGAACAAGCCCTCTTTTAAGTCAGGGCTGCTTCCCGGTTGGGACATATGGGATTGCATGACCTCGTAGCCGCGGTTGAAGGGGTTCTGGCCTATGAATGTTAATGCTATGCTCTTCAAGGATCGGAGTTCTTTTAAATACTTCGATTAATCTTCAATTTTTCCTCGAGCGGGAGGCTGAAGAAGCGTTCGGCACAGCTCATCGTACGAAGCTGCAGCTCCCGGGAGATGCGGTGGCCGGTGATTTGGAAGAAGCCATTTTTCAAGCAGCACTCCCGGACATTTTGTACTAGCTTGGCTTTCGCTTGACTGTCGCTACTATAGAAGACAGAGAAGTCAAGAATTGGGGGCTCTTGTGGGGGGTCCATAGTAATGGAGTAAGAAATGATGAGCATATACAGGCAGGCAGGTGGAGGCTGTATTTATACATGAAACAACATCCCTCCCTACCTTCTATATTCCAACTGGCGAGTAAGGATGATATGCTTAAAATGAAGTCATTGTACATTTGTTTGGCATAATCACTTGACACAACATTTACTAAGCACCCTTTGCTTTTTCCTTCTCTCTATTTACTTTCTGTCTATTTGCTTTCTGTCTGTTTGCTTTCCGTCTGTTACACCATCACACCACAGGAAATATAGGATCAATTAGACTGCCACTTGTGGTTTATTGCTATAATGCCAACTTATCAGAGCATCATCAAAATCGCCGCAGTCACTGGCGCCCTCTTTTTATCAGGTTTGTTCCTTCGCATACACCATCTGCCCAGCACAGAATAATACTAATCCATCACAGGCGGTATCACTGCCCATGGATCAGCTACAGTTCCGGCACTGCTTGAATCCATCTCAGAAGATGGCACCTCCTCTCACGCAATGGTTCAAGTCTGGCGGCGAGTGTACGAGCAAGGACACGCAAATAGCCCGAAGGTTGTTGTTCTGACCACATTCGGCTTCGCATACGCGGCCTGGGGTGCCAATAACCAGCAAATCTCGACACGAACACCGATACTGTTGTACAGCGCTGCTGCATTGCTGGTCGTGGGGGTTGTTCCCTACACGCTCATCTTCATGGAGAACAGCAACCGCAAGCTATTAAAGAGAGCGGCAGAAGCCAAACACTATTCGTCGTCTTCTGCGTCTAGTGAGGAATGCCCGGAAATTTTGATTGACCAAGAATCGAACGAAGGACTTCTTAGACGTTGGAGGGCTCTGACATTGACTCGTGCCTTGCTGCCGATGACTGCGGGTGTCTTGGGACTACTGGCAATTACGCACTATGAATGAATTTTTCAAGCCTTGTGAGGCCGAGCTCTAATAGAAGAACTTTGTTATATCAGAGGTGGTAGGAGTTGGGTTACCTGTGGAGGCTGTGGTCCACATCTGGCAAGATATCCCACCACAGTAAGAAATGCTGTTGGTATATTTTCTTTCAAGCAAATATAATCAAAACAAACCCTTGTCTCATGCTTCTTGGTATACCGCATTCCACGAATCCAATAGTGCGTAAATTCAGGCAAAGCTTACGTACATCGCAATCTATAGGCCAGATACAGGTGGTAGTAAGCGTGTGGGGCAAAGGTCGTGTCAAGCACGGAGTTAGATAAAATAGTCACCTAACTATGCAATTGCGCTTACACTCACTTACCCCATTATTGAAGCGAATACCTATAACATGACCCACATGCGAATGTCACACGGGCGAATGTCACACGAAATTGCTCCGACGCGACTTCTGACTTCTATCACAAATATCACCACAACCAAATATGCGTCAGAAAAATGATGAAAGCCAAGTAATATTGGCCCTTCAAGCTATGCAAAATGACAAAAAACTGAGCGCTCGAGCAGCTGGAAAGATCTATCACATGGATCATGAGAAGCTTAGTCGCTGCCAGCGTGGCATGCAATCACAATGCAATATATCAGCCAATTCACGAAGGCTCACTGATTTAGAGGAATCAATGATTGTTGAACACATACTTGATCTAGATTCCAAAGGGTTTCCTCCTCGGTTGTCTGGTGTGGAAGATATGACCAACTGATTACTTGCAACACGCGATGCAGGATGTGTTAGTGTAAACTGGGCCAGCACCTTTGTTAAATGGCACCCAGAGCTCACAACTTGTTTTAGTCAGAAATATGACTATCAGAGAGCTCTATGTGAAGATCCAGAGGCTATCCATCATTGGTTCATGCTTGTTCAAAACATAATCGCGAAGTACGGCATCCAGGAAGCGGATATTTATAACTTTGATGAAACTGGGTTCAGATGGGAGTGATCTCAACTACAATGGTTGTCACAAGCCCCAAACAACATGGAAAGGCAAAAATAAAACAGCTGGGCAATCGTGAATGGGTCACAGTGATCCAGGGAGTTAATGCTCATGGCTGGGTGATCCCGCCATACATCATTGTCAAGGGTCAATATCACCTTCTTTCTTGGTATCAGAATAGCCAACTGCCAATGGATTGGGTTATTGGTACATCCGAAAACAGTTGGATAACAAATAAACTTGGCTTGGAATGGATCAAGCACTTTGATGAATATACAAAAGCCCAAACAATTGGTTGTTACCGTCTCCTGATTCTTGATGGCCATGCAAGTCACCACTCAACTGACTTTGAGCTTTATTGCAAAGATAATAAGATTATTACACTTTGCATGCCTGTGCATTCATCCCATATCCTCCAGCCTCTTGATGTTGGATACTTTAGTCCCTTGAAGATTGCTTATGGTAAGCATATTGAAGGGCTTATGCGGGCGCGTGTCACCCATATCACTAAAGAAGATTTCTTTCCTGCATTTTACACCGCATACCAAGCCACCATGACAAAGAAAAATATCAAAGGTGGCTTTCAAGGGCCTGGTCTTATCTCTCTTGAACCTGATAGAGTAATATCTAAGCTTGATGTCCAATTTAAAACAGCAACACCGTCGAATTCGCGGCCGACTAGGTCCCATAGCTGAGTTTCCAAAACACCAAATAACCCAATTGAGGCGTCATCCCAGACAAACCTTATCAAAAGCCAAATCTCTTGTCACCAAGATAGCTCTCCATCATCAATCCTGAATGCTGTTGACATCCTCGCGAAAGACACAAGAAAGATAATGCATAAGATGGATTTGATGGAAGCAGAGATTTGTGAAATTCAGGCGGCAAATGAGGCCCTTAGCAGACGCCGGAGGGCTAAAAAAACATGTCTAAGGAAAGGAGGGTCGCTTTCTATACAGGAAACTCAAGAATTAGGGGATCAAATGGAGGTTGAGGTGCAACTGAAGGAGGAAACATGCAATGGGGCTGGTTGGCAACTGCAGACTAAGACACGCGCACAGCGCTGTGGCAATTGCAGAAAAGCTGGACACAATGCACATTTCTGTCAGATAATAGTAGAAATATCTGAGGAAGGCGATTCTGAGTAATTCTAATGGAATTATGTGCACTGGTGGAAATATTGGGGTTAAAGTCATGGCGGAGCGATTTCGTGTGACATTCGCCTGTGTGTGACATTTGCATGTCGGTCATGTTAATTAGAACACCCAATTTATGGATGACTTATGAAATTATGCACATATATGCAATCAGACATAGTACGATATCTTGCTAAATAGAAAATAGGCACATACGACCATAGGGTGTGGAGAACAGGACTTCCCGTCTGCTCAGCCGTGCTTAAGCCAGTAGCTCCACATGGTGAATAGTTACAAGAGCCCTAACTCCAATATTCTCCAGAACAAAGAAGTGGGGCTGGTATGGGTGATAGGGGTGCGATCTTTATAGCTTCTAGCATCAAGGGTGCGATGTTGACACCGGGGGTGCAATACAATATTCTAAAATTGGAAGTTCTCGCACTGGGGGTGCTCAGGATCGTACAGATGAGCGGAGACTGGAATCAAAGGCGAAATGACTCGAAAATGACGAGAAATAGCAAGAGCCCCCAAAACCCTTTGATTGTATTCTGTATTCATGCACTCTTCCCCTGCCTTGACATTTTGGCCTTGCTCTCTCCCCTCCATACGCACGTGATTATTATTCAATCAAGTTCATTGTCTATACCGAGTCCTAGGGCTATGATAGACCATGATTCATGAACTCAAGGCCAGCAGTTATTCTACAGTCTCTTCTCCTCATAGGTTCCTGAGGCGCTAGCCCCCTTCTACACACTTTCTGATCCTTTCCCTCGCCCCAAACCGCCTGTATGCGCAGGGCTTTCGAGCACGGTGCTCTCCTTGTGTTTCGGGGCAGGATGGGTGTAGCCTAGGCTGACTCTCAGCTTAGGCTACCCTTCCTGCTACCCTTCCCCTGTTCTAATTGCCTCCTCTCGGAGTACAAAACGCCTCCACCCCAACATCTCAAGACATGGGCACCACCACCCCAGGAGTACCGCACACGGAGTTAGGAGTTGACTGTGAACTCACAGTCAAGATACGTGATGAGGCAATGCGCGCTGACCTGAAGAAGCTATCTTCAATCAAGATTGTGGAACGGGCTGAGAGAGCACGAGAAAGTGCAGTCAAAAAGTCA